ATCACCCCTAGGGTTTTAGAGACAGATACATTATCCCCCAGACCACTGCTTCTCTATCGCTTCCCGTACAGCTTATTTAAGTTTTATCTTATCATCAGTTTGAAAATATTGAAGAATGAAATTCAGTCCTTCACAAATTTTATTGTTTCATTATAACAGATTTACCAGCGTTACAAGTGGTTTTTACTGTGACAATTTATTAATATGTTTGTTTGATTGTATAAAGCATGGTGAGGGGGGTAAAAAAGTTTACGGAATTTGACTTGAACTTAAAATAACTGCCACGTCTATAGATGTCAGTGTTGATTATAATGTTACATTAAATTCTTTATGAGAAAATTTCATAGTGTATTAATCGGAGCCTTTGATGTGATAAGTTTAAACAATGGCATGAAAATGAAATGTAGGCGGGACTTAAATAAATTTCCTTTGTAGTTAAGGTAACATTAGTAAATCGCGAAATTACAATCTTAGGATGTCCAAAATTTATTCGACATAATGAATAAATCATTAATTTGACAAGAAAACACGCGAGCCTTCCCTTTCATCTTTCCAAACTACAGTAAAAAGTATAATTTTTGTCATAAAATTATAATTTATGTGGTCCCGAATGGCCCATGTTTTATTGTAGTTTATACGAGTTCTGAAGAAAATCTCCAAACTAACATTTCCTGTGTTGTTTAAAACAGCCGTGCACATAGATTTGATAATTTCATGTAATAAATATTAAAACGATACTAAAATACGAGCTAGTTGCTGTGGCACGTATCTTGTTGCATGCCTTTTCTTTCTTTTTTTTTCCTCAAGTGCCCGCTAACTCACCTTGATCAGGGAAAACCTGCAAGTTTCTGATCATTAAATGCATAAGTTTCATTTAAATAATTAATCACAAAGGATTTATTTGGTAAATTATTGTGTACGTATATGATTGAACGTATTATTTTCACGATTTTACGCGGCTTTTTGGCTAATTTGTCTTTCTTCATAACAATTACATCGCAAATAAATCAGTAAATTCATGAATAAAATGGGAATTTTGGCAAAAAATGGCCATAAGTGATAAATTTATTATAGCAAATTAATTCAAATTACCCAACTTTTCATTCAAAAGAGAAACTTTTCTCATCAATTTTGTACCATTTTACAAAAAAAATGGATGAGCAAAAATGCATCATTTTGACAGAAAGGAAAGCTCAATTTAGTCACATTAAACTTTGATATTTCTCATTTAAATTGAATGTATTGAAAAAGTTGGCATAATTCGAGTTAGGTCAGTCCATGGCTGAGTGGTTAGGGTTGTTGACTTGTGGGTTTGAATCCTGACCTGAGGTCTTCCTTTGCTAGTAAAGCTGGAAAGTCGCCATATGACCTACACTGTGTTTGTGAGATGTATAACAAACAAAAAAAGAAAAATAATTTATCATGAGTTATCTTTTTTTTTTAACTACATGTGCTAATATATATAATAATGTAAGTCAAACTATGGTAACAAAAGGTAACAGTAACATCTTTGGCTTCTTATAACCCTGCACCAGTCCTGCCATTGGAACCAAAAAAGGATTAGCATTGCCACCAGTTTAGAGCATGGCCAGCCTGTACATCCAGGCAGTCTGACCTGTTGGCTGACTAACTTGATATCCCCAAAATTGATAATGGACCGTTCCAAAAGTGAAACTGGACAAGTCCATTCAAGTAATTCAGCAGGTTAAAGGTAAATGGCTTAAGAAATAAAAGGGAGAACAATAAGTAAAGCCACTTCAGAACAAATTACTTAAATTAAGACCTCTGTTTGGGTCAAGTTGAGGACTATAAAATCAATGATAATGAAAGGCTATCATGCATTTTAGAGCTCGGCTGGCCATCCTTTTCACCTTGTAAAGTAAACTCTTCCCTGTCTTATTTTGAAAAAATGCTTTCTTTATTCCAAGGTTTTTATGAGTCTTTTTAGACGAGTCTGGTTAGAAGGCATGGATGATATTGGAGCAATTATATGGCCACTGAGAAATCTTGGAAGGAAATTAGTATACTTGATAATTATCCACCATGACATTGCAATATCAGATCAGAAAAACAAACTTAAATTAGGCTTGGGCATATTTTAAGCTTCTTGTGATTTTGTTATATATACTGTTTCAAAGAAAGGCGTTGTTGGGATAATTGTTTCAAGGCAAGGAGATGTAACCTGACTTAGCTTTGGACGATGCTCTGAAAAGTTTTTGTTTCTGCCTGAATTATCGTGCCTTTATTTTGTATTCTTTCAATGATTAAAATGTTTGACATTTGGGAGGGACAATCAAATAAAGTATTGATGAAATGTTTCAAGCATATTTTTCCCCTTTTGTATTTTAACTTGAAAAGTTCACTAACTACAAACAATTCTTTCCTTAATAAATATGTCAATTCAATGGTGAATTTTTTTCTCTCGATTTTCACTTGATGCATCACATGCACATAACCTGTATATATTTATACTTAATAATATTTTATTGCGATCGTGAACGAAAAACTTGATCCATTTTCTGCCAATCAAAAATACAGCATCGTCATTTACCTGTTCATTAATTTGTCATTTGAAGTCGAAACACCTAAGACAGAAGAGAATTGTTATGCACGGCAACTAAATACCATTTTTTATATCACCGTACATAGATGACGCACAGTAACTTTTTCGGGAAAGACTATCAAATATTCATAAAATCGGTTACAAAAAAATGTCAAAAGATGAAAAATGTAACCTATAGATTATTAAATGAGGAAATTGCCTGTGACCTGATTTGAATAAATTAGCTGAATCTGTCACTCAGAATTTTGAATAAGATGAAAATACTGACATTACCTATAAATTTCTGAAAGATTGTATATAAACATTAAAATTTTTTCACCCATGTTTAATATTCATCGAGCTTTGTGCAGAATATAAAAAAGGAATCATTTAAATTTTGTGACAGGGAGTTTGATGGTTTTATTTTCAATTCCGTCAAAGATGATCGAAGCTGGAGAAATAATATAGTTGCGGACTGGATTGAATGCACGTGCAACCAGTGACATTAATGTATTTACAGAATCCAAAAAATCGTTTACACAACATTGTTTTTATTTTGCAAAACAATTATAACATCTCTGATTTTCCGCGTTTTATGACAAATAATTGTTTTCCTTAAACTGGTATTTATTACTTTGAAGGAAATTGTGGTTAAATATTAAGTGTTTTTTTCTCTTCTTTTGAAACTTTCTTCTCCATTTTTTTGTTCTAAATCATAAGTTTTTATGTCTTTGCCCATTGACACGAAACACGTGTTAAGAATGTTAGATGAATTTAGGCAGAGATTTAAAGTTTTGTTTTGTTTTCGCATTTTTAGCATGTTTAAATAGTACCTTTTTTTTTTTATCAGCAAGCATAATATGTGTGGTATACAATTTTGAAATGAAAATTTGGGTGGAAAAAAATCAGCAATAATAGGACATTTAAATGATTCTATTACAATAATAGGACATTTAAATGATTCTTTTGAAGAAATAAATCCATATATATCTAAATATATATGTATGAATATGAAATGTCAATATTGGAAAATCAATTGATATTCATAGAAAAAAAACTGTCATGTATTTATATGAATTTATTTCTTTTGCCCTAAAATTCAATATTACATGATACCATATTTTTGTGTGATATCGGGTATCAGTAAAAGAAAAAAAAAATCTTATTATATACGATTTCCAGATTTGGAGATTTTCCAAAATATCGACAATCTGAAGGAAAAAAAAATATATTGACTAATATTGGTCACATGTTTAAAAACTTGTTGTAAATTTGGAAATAAATCTTTCAGTAAATAGCATTTTTATAATCTCATGTTTCGTGGAGAGATTTCTTGGGTTATTAATTCTTTATGTTTATATAGATTATTGATTGAAAACTGCTATTGATCGAAAAATAATACGTTAATGCAGAAAAGTGTAGTTTAACTTGAAATATATTAATCGTGACGTAAAGTAACTTAGTTTATGAGAGAAAAACGTTGGCATGTTTTAAAAGTACTTTCGATTATTTTAAAGTGGCTGTTTCATAGCATCGCATTAAAATATTCAGCCTATCCAATATTTGTTAAAAGTATGAATGACATGAAATGAAGTAACGAAAAAAAAAAAAAAAAAAAGGCACAGAATGATAAAGTATAGATAGATCACATTAAGTAGAGAGAAACAGCTTTTTCTTTTTAAGAATCAACAAAGTACTTGTATGTTATATACATTTAATGGAAGTTGTAATGAAATTTTTGGGAATATATTTAATTGTGACATGGTGCCTTCTTTTGCTGAAAGATGACGTTCAAACTCTTGTCCCTGATTTTAACCCTTTTTGACCTCTAAATATCTTAAAATTATAATATAATAAATTATATAAGGCAGTATTTATTTTTCATATGAAGTGGTCTTTATTTTTATATATTTTTTTATAAGTTGGCATTCAGTTTAGTTAACTTTTCCATGAGGTGGTCATGCAATGGATTATAAACATTTTGTTACAAGAGAAGACAGTTATCACAAACTAGTTGAACTTTGCTCTCTTAATTAACAAAGTATGTAGTATAAACTATGACTGTGAAATGTTAATAACTGTAAGGTCATTAATTTTTATCTTTACAAATGATATCTCATTTATATGTCTAATTGAATATCTTGTACATTTTACTACAAATCTGACACAAAAAAATTGAGATAAATAATACAGTTTTTCCAACAATTACTGTTTAAAGGGAGACTAATCTTGTATTTTTGTCCCACAACAGTAGTTTCCCTTGATATAAATCTACTTAACTTTATTGTTGCATTTTATTATTGACATCCAATATTGAATGAACAAATTAGCCTTTAACATTAGCTGGAACCAAAAGTTATTAAGTTTTTGCCAACATAATAAAACCATGCTAGCCTGCATGTCTGTGTCTTTTGTACTTTCCTTTCAAAATGAATAATACTGTGTATATTTTTTTCAGGAAATGGTAAAGTTCAGAACGATAGATTTACGACCAGTTCATCTTTTATTAATGCTGTGTACAACTCGAACTCCGGTCAGACTACCCCTAGTCAACTCTCGCCAGGTCTACCCAACTACTCCAAGTATCTGAAGAGGTAAATTAATCTTACTGATGTTAAAGAAAAAAAAAATCATAATTTTATCATGAAGAATTGTCATTTAGAATTACATTGTTATGTTACTTACTTCCAAAAGTGGCTAAGTTAACATTGAAGTCTCATCTGGAAGACATGTAATATTACTTGAAGTAATGGGGGATCGAGCTAGCAACCCCTGAAGTTGTACTCAAAGTATATTACCACTAGACTGCAAGGCCACCTCTCAAATAATTCTTCACACTGCAGTGATTTTCTTTTTTAATTTTCAAAACAACCTCTGGTTTTCTGAAGGGGAAATATATGATAAGGTGTTAATATGTTCTATTCTGTTCTATTACAGATATAACAATGGTAACGAGTGTGGCGGCCAGCACTGTAACGACCTCGGGTACCGTGAACACTATCATTGCATTGACTGCAGCTTCCAGGTGTTCATTAAGAAAGAGGAGATGGTGCGGCACTACAAGTGGCACAGGAAGCGCGAGGAGTCCCTCCAGCATGGATTCCTCAGGTTCAGTCCTCTGGACAACTGTACCAAGAGGTTTGGCAACTGTACACATAACGGGAAACAGACTCACTATCATTGTCTACAGGTAGATTTATCTTTACTTTGCTTTATTTATGTAAATGTCTTGCTTTGCCTCTAATTTGTAAATTGAAAGAGGTTTAAATATTAAAATTATATCAACAACAGTGTAGAGTCTGGTCATTTTGCACACAAGTTTTGTAAAAGTCAACCGGCCTCTATGCTGGCGGCCTTGATTATATATTTTTGATTTGAGCTCAGTTGTAAAGAAGGCTTGTAACTTTTTTGAACCATTATCATGTCCACTTCTTTGAACTAATCAATACTTGTTTTATGTGAGGAAATTTGTTTGTGTTTCAAGTAAGGGCTCAAACCTCCAATCCCTACACATAAACTCTTTAATTGGTGGTATAGGATAGGAAACTTATAGTGACTTCTAGATTTCATTGCATTAAAATTAATTATTTGTTATATATTTTGTATATATAATAAAAAGGGGCATCCATTGCCAAGTGGTTAAGGTTTGTTGACTTCAGACCACTTGCCCCTCACCCCTATGGGTACGAATCCTGATAGGGACTTTGAATTCTTTCTTGTGAGGAAGCTATCCAGCTGGCTTATCAGTGGTTCTAACTCAGGTGCCTGCTTGTGCCTGAAATAATGTACAGAAAGCTGGAAAATTGCCATATGACCTACACTATGTTGATGGGACCTAAAAAGGCATAAAACCAACGGAAAAAAAAAATATTATATATAAAACAAGTTCACATAGAAATAAAATGATTTATAGTAGATGTATAGTAATGTAGACTTGGACCTATAAAAATGTGTATAGGTGAAAACAGGAAGTCTCCATATCTTATCTAGATAGTTAACAAAAAGTAGTTCAACATTAAATGTAAGAAATATATAACCACTGGCAAATAAAAATCTTGATAAATGTCTAAAATTGGGTCGGTTAAAAAAGTCAGTTAATTGCAGCATGGGTGTGTGTGATTGAACAAGGCATTATTGCTACATGATGATTTACTTAATACTATATTCCTATAATAAATGTTCAACATCAAATATATCCAATAAAAGCAATTAACTCTTTTTCCTGATGGAAACAAAAGTGATTAGCCTTTGCCACTATTATACATTTAGGCCAGCCTGCACATCTGTACAGATCTGACAAGGTTCTATACTGTTGGCAGATTAACTTGAATGTTTCATTTTGATGTCCCCAAAGTTGATAATAAAAATGTGCAAAAAAATATAAGCTGGCCTGAAGTCCATTTAAGATGTTCAGCTTATGAAAATATCTTTTTCATAGATTAACTATTTTACTTATTTTAGCTTATTCAATGCGTTGTTTAATTTTCTTAATGTCTTTCATATCTGAAACAAAAATTATTTATATCCTTATTTATTAATGTCAGATTATAATTTAGAAAAATATTAATAAAAGGTTTTTAACATGTAAAGGGAGACAACTTTGAAATGTTTCAAGTATTGACTTGGCAGATTGATCTTATCTTGTAGAATGGCTGTGATAAGGTGTATATAAGTACATCAGATGTACAGATGCATGCCAACTATCACCGTAAAGATTCTGCTATAATGTCAGAGGGGTTCCAAAGATTCCGAGCCACCGAGGATTGTGGGACAATGTCTTGCAGCTTTTACGGGCAGAGGACAACACATTTTCACTGCCTGCGACCTGACTGTAAATTCACCTTCAAGAATAAAGCAGATATGGGTAGGTTTGATTATTGTTATATTTATACTTTGGAAATGAAAAATTTTAACCCTTAAAATTTTTTAAATTTTGGTTTCCGCTTTTAATTGGTTAAAACAGTTGTTGTTTTTTTTTTAAATTAATTACTAAGTAGATATGTTTTGGTTGGTTTTTTTTGCGACAAAATAATGCCATTTTCATAATGTGTTGAATTTAATATGCTCTTGTTTGTTGTAAATAATATTTGAAAATGTAATCAAATATGTCACACATATAAAATGATGTTTAGCAGGACATTTTCACTCAATTTCAAATCTTGTCAATTTGTGTATTCAAATCATATATATACAGTATTGTTTCCCTTATAGAGAAACATAAGAGTTACCATCAGAAGGACGAGGTGTTAGGACGTGATGGTTTTAAGAAGTTTATGAAGTACGAGCACTGTATGTTCACTAGATGTCGTTACTCTAAAGTTAGCAATCATATACACTGTATTAGATCAGGTAATTATTGCAATTTCTCATAACAGTCGACATTCAAGGTCTAAAAAAATCATCTAAACGTTTGGCATTAACTGATGGTATTAGTAAGCTAGACTGTAAGATAGTATAAAGAGGAATTGGTCTGTAGTTATTGGAGAAGTTCTACCCACTTTTCTAACATAAAACAGTTAAAAAAAGATTAGGCAGTCTTCCTATGGCTTTAGTATGATTTATGGAAAAATTGAATGACAATTTTCCTTACATTTTTCAAAAGTAGGCCTTTAAGCTGTGTTTGGCAGTATCAATATGATGTTGTATTTTTCCCCAACTTATGACAAATTTATGCAATTTATACAAACTGGTTTGTTTACAACAATATTTTATTACAGGTTGTGACTATGTGTTACACTCCACTGCACAACTTTATTCACACAAGCGTAAACATGAGAGGCGGGATTTCGAGAACGCGTATAAAAAGTACCGTGATAATCACCAACCTGCCCCGCAAACTGCTAATAAGCTTCTCTTACCTCGTGCTGACTTCGGAACAATTCAACAGCTTGCGTCTCTCAGTGGTAGCCCAGTGATTCAAACCCTTGCCAGTGTTGCCAACATGCCATCAGGCTTGAAGAGACAAATGGACTGGGACCATCAGGAACCGCTGGAACTGAAGAAACCGAAAATTGAACCTGGTTCAGATGTCGACGTCTCGGCACCATCAACGCCTAGTGCACGATCAACTCCTGTAGAGAAGTTTACAATTAAAACCGAGCCTGATGAACAAGCTATGGATACAGAGTCGTTACACAGTCTAAATGACTCTGTTGATTTATCGCCAGAAACAAAATCACAGTTAAGTCAAATGTACAAAGATGGGAAAAGCCTCAATCTGAGTGGATCGTTAACTTTGCCTATCCCAATGTTTGCTGGGAAGAAGGAATCTAAAAGTTCCGAGTCTCCTGTTGTATCGCCTAGTGCTAATGTGGCACTGAAGCCAGTCAATAATCTCGGGAAAGGCGAGTCGATGTTCTCAGCAACAAGCAGCCTAGGGAGTGCCATGCCGAGCACGCTGGGTGGTTCACTAGTCTCAATGAATCCAGGGGCCTTGCTGACCGTACCCACAACCTTTCCGGGACCCTCTACAGTACTACAACCTCCTAAATCAGTGTACACAGAGAGAAGGGAGAAAGATGATTCCTGGAAGACATATCTTGTTAGGTAAGACAATCTATGTTTGTGTTTAAAGCAATAATAAATTGCAATATTTTCTGTATAAAGTTCAATTTTAAAGCATTAAGTTTTGTTTTACTAGTTTTCAGTTTGAAAACATAATAAATTTTACCTATTCAACTTGAAAGCAATATTTTTTACACATTGTTTTTTAAATTAGTATTAAATTCACAACTGACTTCAAATTCTTGTATAGTTGAAACAGTTTGATTGGTCAAGTTTAAAGTTTTAAGATTTGAAATTTAGGCTTATAGAACAAAGAGAGTTATTCCAATACTGTTTACATAATGAATTGATTCAATATTGCTCTCATATTTATTAATGTGTTAATTTATTCAGGTATACGGCTAATGACCCATGCAACCCACGGTGTCAGTATTTGTATAAAGATCACTACCACTGTAAGATGGACGGATGTTTGGTCCTGTTTAAATCCAAGGATGGAGTTCGTGAACATGCTAGGTATTATGTTGTTTATTTTAATTTCTTATCATAAGTACTATAACATCCAAAACATCCAAAATTGTCCCAGAAAGCAGGTGAATATCACAGACTTATGACTTTTATGCATTAAAATTAATTAGTATTGGAACTTATTTTTGGGGGGGGGGGATCCAGATTTCAAGGCCAAATTGCAGGCTTAATTGATCCCATAGCTTTTTAATTAAATTACTAATAGTTTTATTGTGTTGTTTTTGTTGTTGTTTTTGCTAGTAGTACATATTTGTATTGGAACTATTTTTTCATGCAGATTTCATGAGCTGCAAGACCGAATTACTCCTATAGCGTACCAGACGTATGAAGATGATGAGGCGTGTCCACATGAGTGTCAGTACAGTGAGAAGGAGAAACACTATCATTGTATCTGGGTATGTATTTAGTTTGCTAGAATCTTTTGTAGGGTCCACAATGGCCAAGGGGTGAAAGGTCCCTGACTTCAAATTATCTGCCCCTGAGGGCTGTGAGTTGGAATATCCTATCAGAGATGTCAGATTCTTTAATGTGAGAAAAAAATATCTGGGCTACAGGAGCTCAGTGGTTCTACTTAGGGGCCTGCTTCTGCTTGAATTTATGAGGTCGTCTTACATAAGTAAATCTTGAATGTTACCATATGACCTGTTTAAAACCAAACCATTATTTTATTTTATATAAACCTTTCAATCAATACAACTGTTTTGTTTCTTTTCACATACTCTTCATTTTGTTGTGCTAATAATAATTATTTTTACAATATTTACAAATGTTCTTAAAAATTATAATCTATAAACTTTTCATTTCAGACTGGATGTAACCATGTTGTTCCATATGTAGGACCCACATTTGGTCGACTAGAGCACTACCGTATACATGAGTACGCCAGGGCAGCTGCAGGTAAATCGTACAACCGTAGCGGTAAAGGACTGCCGACCTTTGAAGATAACAGTATGAGACGAAGAGGAAGACCGCCAAAATATCCAAAAATAGAACTGCCGAAAATACCAAAAGTAGAACTGACTGATGAAGAAATTCAGCAGTCACATTCCGTGGCAACCGATTCAAATGTAAACAGTCAAACAAAAGTTATCAACGGTTTTCGAATATTCTCACCAGAAGATCCTTGCCCGGATGAACGTTGTAATTTCATTGGTAAACTTCATTACCATTGTGCTCGGCCAAGGTGTTTTACTATTACAGATAGAATTGATGTTCTAAACCTTCATGCTAAAGATTTCCACAGTTTTGTGAAGATTCTGGAAGGCTATGAGTTCTTCGATCGTAACGTTAGCTGTCGTAGAATTCACTGCCCAAACAACCAGACCAATCGTCACTTCCACTGCACAAGGCAGAAATGTGATTATTCGTTTATCAGACACAGTACAATGGCTCAGCATGAGAAGAAACATCAATATTCCGGTGGTAATTCCGGTACCCCAGTTACTCCGTTATCACCAAAAGAAGTTCCGATCTCACCCAAAACATTCAGAGATATTCCATTATCACCAATATTACCAAATTCAGCTGTAAGTCAAACTTCTCATCTTGGTGCGGCAACTTCAGTTATAACGTCTGCAGCGGCATTTCTTCAGATGAAGCCGGCACAAAATACCGGTATACCAGTCTTCATATCTCAGTCTGGGAATATAACCAGTCTGTCTCAGGGACCAGTCATTGTATCACAACAACCCGTAGGAATTCAAGATCTCTCTCTTACCGGAACTCAGGTAGCTTTTAAACAGGCACCAATCAATGTTGCAACAGTCCCAATACCGATAAGTACAGTTCAGGCTTTACCTGCATCTGTTACAGCAACTCAGCTCGTGCAGGGTTTACCTGCCCCTCTTGTCACAGTAGGTGGCGCTCCTATAGCTATTAGTCAGTTAGATAGTACCAATACCAGCACCTCCAGTGTTCCACTTACAGTGCTACTTCAGAGGGGTGTCAATCAAATTCCACAGCCGAGTTGGAATGAACTGAGAAACAAAATGCATTACGCAATTTCGCAAAATTGTGGACGTCCGTTTTGTAAATTAAAGAAGAAAGATCATTACCATTGCTTCGATTGTAATCAAGCATTTTCTGATCCAGCACGATTGCGGTCCCACATTGGAAAACATGGTGTGAAAATTCCACGCGCGGATCAAGGAAGTTCTGTTATCAAGCATGCCAGTCAGATCTCGTCTCCTCCAAGTGTTCCAATATTACCAAAAATAGAGAACCATATTGAAAATCCTGAGAACAGTCTCGATCCAGATGAAGCTCATTGTCTGGCTGAAAGTGGCGATATAGGTGAGAATGACAGCGATACTGAAGATCCAAAATCCTCATCTCTAAACTTAAACCCTTCTACCTTCTCGGAAATGATCTCAAAGGCACAAGAGCAAAATAAAATATCAACAGATGGTGAAAGTGATGATGATGATGATACTGATAATGCTTTACATATAGACACAAGTGCTGACTTAGACTATACCGGTAACCAGTCGGATAGTAATGAACAAAAAATTGATGTTTCAAGTCGATCTGGACGTAAAATATTTAAAACAAAAAAAGATGATTATATGAATAGTGGGGATATCAATTTAAGTAAGCAGAGACAAGCTTCGCCACAGAAAAATCATTCCAAACATACTACGGTGAAGAGCCCAACTTCAAGTGCTAATAAGGTTATTGGCACCGGAACAAGAGGTCTTCGAGATGATTCTATACCAGACGGTTATTCCCGATGGCGTTACAATGAAGAATGTAAATATCCTAAATGTGCGTATCGTCACAGTGTCACTCATTTTCACTGTATACGTGATGACTGCGGATACGGTTTTAGTGACCGATCACGTCTTGTGCAGCATACGCTACGTCACGAACGAATCGACAGTATAACCGGAGGCGAACTTCAACAGTACCGAATAAATCAAGACTGTGGATCAGACGAGTGTGAATACAACAAGAAAATGTCACATTTTCATTGTAAACGATGCTCGTATGTGTGTACCGATTCCAGTAAGGTGTTGACACATAGAAAATATCACGCGAAAATGGATAATATTTCAAATCAGGGTTTTGAGAAATATACTGCTGCTGATGACTGTAGTGTAAGTCTGTGTCCTTACGCGAGAAAACAAAATCATTTTCATTGCTTAGTTGAGACTTGTCGGGCCGCGGCTCTTGGTCCAGTTCAGATGACCTCTCATAAAGCAAAACATACAAGTAGAGATAACTGATTTTAGTTAAAGATTAAATGAGCCACATCTTGACAAAACCAACATAGTGCATTTGCGACCAGCATGGATCCAGACCAGCCTGCGCATCCGTGCAGTCTGATCAGCATCCATGCTGTTCGCTATCAGTTTCTCTACTTATAATAGAGTTGGTAAGCAAACAGCATGGATCCTGATCAGACTGTGTGGATGCGTGACACGGCTCAAATGCAATAATGGAAATATTTTTCTTAGGAAAAGATTTAGCACTCAACGTTGTACATGTACATTATTAAATTATTATTACAACTATTTGTCCGTATTTCAGAGAACTATATTTAGTGTCACCATTATAGTTAGAGATTATTAAACTGAGTTAAACAGAATTATATTTTGGTACATGTATATGACTGTTAATGATTTTTATTCAGTTTGTTTCCATTTTTGTATTTCAAATTATCATATTATGTTAAAGAAAGTTTTGAAGTTTATAGACAGAGTTCATTATATAAAAGAAAGATTTGATAAAGTCCCTTCAGTGTCATATCGAATGATTTTTTTTCTTATTTTCATGGAAATTAAAAACATATTTATTAATAGTTTTTATAGTTTGTAGAGTGTTCATTCTCAGGATTTATTTTTTGTGAATTTTTGCAAAGAAAACAAGTCATATATAATACACAGTATTACATAACTACTAATAATGCCTTTAGAAGTAATATTATAACCTTATATTTATTTTAAAGTGAATTAACCTCATGTTATATATATGACTAAATGTCAAGCAAAACCTGGAAATAATCTAGCGAAAAGTCAATGAAATGTGATATTTTTCATTTTTTGTGAAACATACATTTTTATTGTGTGACATATAGAATTCATAATGATTTAATTTTTTAAAAACTTATTCCATTCCACTATAAAATAAAACTGCATTCCATTTTTTCAACGTTTATTGTATATTTTATGAACACTGATAGAGTGTACAACACTTCACTTTTTGTAACTAATTTTTTTACCCTTGACACAACTAAGTTTTATATAATAGGCTTGTCCCACTTTCATTTTGGAACAGTCCATTGTCAATAAAAGGTATTTTGATGTGAGAAATTGAACATTAAAAAATTAGAAATAAAATTTACAAGCCTATTAGTTTGTGCAGACCGACTCTATACTGGTGGCGAAGTCCGATCAGTCAGGGGTAACTCACAAAATTACGATCATAAAGTGTGTTCAAACCCTTGAAAAATTTTGTTGTGATATTTATATTGTATTGACACTGCTGTAGACACACATTCCACCAAATGAAATTTTTTATTTATAGATTTTTCACATAAATGTCACTGCTGATATATTTATTACACGCCTTTAAAGATTATTTATTATTGAAATATTTTCTTACTTGTTGTTATAATATGCAAATGATCTTATTATGATTTAGAGAATGATGAAATAAATAAAAAAAAATACTTGATAACGAAAAAAAAATTTTTTCTTTTATTTTTTTCTCGTTTTTTACTTTATCTGTTCAGTGTGCTAATTTTATTATTATTCACATTTTTGTGATGATTTTTTTTATGATTATGTGCTAAAAAAATTAAGATGTTCTATTGATAAGTTAAATTGTTATTCATGATGACAAGAAAACAAAAAAAACATTGTTAAAACGTTCAAAGAACTTTGTACTAGGCATAATTTGAAAAAAATTCTTTCTTAGATATTCAATATTACTTGGGAATAAATAATAATTTCCTCTGAATTTCCAATATTCCAATAATATTTCTGCCTGTTTTATTGTTCACAATATTAATGGATTCTAAGAGAGATAATAAATAATGTGTAACATGGGCAGTAGAATTATGCATTCCATAGTTAGCTCCCATGAATAACGAGATATTTTTTTGTTAACTGCATTGTTAGAAATTTTAAGATTTTTTTTTGTTGTATTGAGAGATGCTGAATTTGTTCTCACTGATCATGAACGTAAATGATATGAGCCGCGTCACGACAAAACCAACGTAATGCGTTTGCGACCAGCATCCGCGCAGTCTGATCAGGATCCATGCTGTTCACTTACAGACCCTATAACAAGTAGAGAAACTGATAGCGAACAGCTTGGATTCTGATTAGACTGCGCGGATGCTGGTCGCAAACCCATTATGTTGGTTTTGTCGTGACGCGGCTATAAACACTTATTGTAAGACTCCTAATTATTTGTAAAAGGAGTATATATATATATATATATATATATATATATATATTTTTGTAAATATTTATTGTATAGAAAAATAGTTTGCCTTAAAAAGGTTGCCTCATACGAAAACATTCCAAACTCTAACATGTACATATGAGCCGTGTCATGACAAAACCAACATAATGGGTTTGCGACCAGCATGGATCGAGAACAGCCTGCGCATCCGCTCAGTCTGATCAGGATCCATGCTGTTCGCTATCGGTTTCTATACTGGTTATAGAGTTTGTAAGCGAACAGCATGGATCCTGATCAGACTGCGTGGATGCGCAGGCTGGTCTGGATACATGCTGGTTGCAAACCCATTATGTTGGTTTTGTCATGACACGGCTCATATCTTTTATCATGTATAATATTATATATATTAATCTGTGTTATTTATACAGTCTCTTTTATCAGAGAATTTATTGGGGTTTTTTTGTTGTTTTTTTTTTCTTTTAGTTTGCACATTACAACATTCCAGTGTGAGCAAAGTAAAGTATCTGGTCCATTTTTAAGCGTTAGTTTCTAATGTAATTATATGTTTTAAAGATTGTCTCTCAAAGTTTGATTTTTTCAATATTTGACATTAATTTTTTTTACCAGTTTTTTGAAAAGTTAAGAAATACTTGTAATTGATGTCTTCACTTTTTGCATAATTTTAATTTTATCTATTTTGTGAAAGTGAATAGAAAAAATTAAACATTGGAACATTAAATTTCTGGTATGAAATTTTGCTTCTATTTTTACAAATTTTTGGAAACAAAATTTTTCATAGTGATCTGGTGTAATTTTCATTTTCATTTTTTTTTTTCCAATTGAATTTTTCAGCCCGTGTACGGAGCATAACTTAAAACTTTACCAGGGATGATATGGGATTGATTTGATATTTTGAATATTTTAAAAAATATATCCCACCAAGGATACAAATAATTTAGAAAATTAACATATATATACTGGTAGATGGTGACAAGGGAGGACACTCTAGCTGGCCCTTCATTTTTTTAGAATTATCTACCTTTGTTTACAACAATTTAAGTAATATGCAGTGATTACATAATCACATTTAGTGATTTACAAATGTTCCAAAACTGTTTTCTTATTTATATTTACACACGGAAAACCGAAACACAATTTATTTTTTGCCTTATACATTTTTTGTCAGGCCTATGATAAGATAATTATTATTAAAGGGGAACCAAATTGTGATAGTAGGCATAATTGTCTCAGATATTACTAGTCATAATATATCACTCTGTGTGTGGAATTTTTACTCAGGCCTCATGTATTTTATTATGTAACCAGTTGTTTAAATCACATAAATTATTCTCATATTTATAGCAGATATTTATTATAGCACATATTTTTCCTCTCTGTCTCCAACTCACCCCAGCCTTCATACAATGCCCCCCACCCTCCAACCCCCTTCTCTATAATTTGAATACATTATCAATCGGTCTACCATATTTATTCATGATTTATTTTTTGCCTTTTCTCATATTTATTTTGTCATGCTTGGTTTTATGTGTGAACAAGAGACATTTCTTTAATTGTACAAAAGTTTATTTGTAGATGACGGTGTAAGAAAATAAGTTGTGACAGTAATGAAAAAAAAAGATTTCAACATTTAAAAATGTTGTTGATTTAGTTTGTTTGTTAGGGTGTTTATTTCTTTACACAATGAAATATAATGAAATTGTTAGTTTTATAAAATTATGCACAGTAAGTTGGTTTAACAATATTTTTAGTGTGTGTAGCTTTAAAGCAAACATAGATAGTGTGTTTTTTCCATTCATATGATGTTCTACATGTGATTGAAAATTAGGGGGAAAAAAAGATTTTATTTATTTAAATTGTATTGCGAGAGAAAGTGTATGTGATATAGTGCTAACTAGTCCATTGTTATTTATTTATTAATGTTAAAGATAGAGGCATAGCCAGAATTTGAGATAATGTCAACAGTATGCATGAAACATGATATTTTACTCACCTATATGTCGGATCACACATATAAGACAGGGCTCAGAATTTGACACTTATAATAGTGAAGCAAAATTATTAAAAATAAGGAAAAAATTAAGAATTATTTATTTAACAAATGATTGAAATAAAATAAATAAATGGATGTTTTTTATGTACAGGGCATATTTTTGGTAAAAAAAACAACTTCACCATCAAGTTTGGTTAAGTTAATATATATACAACTTTTCAGAATATTACTATTGATAAAAAAAAAGTTGCAGAAAGGGAGATAATCTATTTTTTTTAGAGGTATTGTTTTTAAAATAAATGAATAAATTAATATTGTAAAGGTATTGTATGTATTTTATTATCTTAAGCAGGATTATTGAATTGGAAGTCACTGTACACCAAGGCTTAATTTTTTTATTAAAGTGACATTATGCTCATATTTTCATAGTCAAGTGGAGCTGAATTGACTTTATATTTCAAAAGATTGACTGTTAAAATGGTGTTTGACCAACAGTTGATATTGGAAAATGTTCAGAATAAAATTATAAATCTGCCTAAAATATAAAAAGACTGCCCCACTCTTTTTATAAACTAAGCATTATAGGTAAATTCTAATGGATATTCACAGATATTTCATTTGGATCTGTGCATTATTTATTGTTTATGTAAACTTAATTATAAAATCAAAAGGAATAATGACAAAATGAAAACTTATTTTGATCTCCACCGTTCACTCACTATACCTTTGGATGGGCATAATGTCACTTTAAGTCATGTGTGGTGATGACATCATAACAATTTGAATAGAATTGAAAACTCCAGTAATCCTTGTATTATAATTATATATGAAGTCATCTATATATGCTGCAATTGCTGCTGATTTTACAACTGTCTACCATTGTTGTTTTTTTTTCATTGTATATTTTACAATCATGTATGCCGTCCGGAAACCTATGTCAACGAAGTCATGAATTGTGCCTAAGTCATTTTTTTGGTCACATTTTTTTTGAAGTGTCATTTTGCACATAAATATATCATTGTTGTTTTGGTTTGAATATTTCTAATATTTAACTTCATATGATTACAAAATATTATTATTCATGTTTATGTATTTTATCTTCGATAGACTGGTAAAGTGAAAATATTTTGGCAGTGAGAAATAGATTATTGTTCATGTAGATTTGAATTTTATTAATCATACATGTGCAGTACCTAGAAAACATTTTGAAAAAAGTATAATATTACTCTTTTGATATATTTCAAATGCTTTGAAAATTCTTGAATCCAAGGGTCACATTTGAAATGGTTTAGCGCAGAGGAAGGAAGTCTAGTACTGGTGTAACTCTCCAGGAACGATGGTTAGGAAACTACCCGCCTATATGACTGAAATACTGTTGGAAAAAGGCGTAAAATGAAACAAACATTTGAAATGAAATTTAAGTATTTTAAAATCAGACATGTCATTTTTGTTCACTCTTCCATATATAAGTACATGAGCAACTATGCAAAATTTTTCTGCAAAAAATAAAATCCTTACCAAGTCCCTATATCAGTCCCTAAATTCTTGTTAACATAATACCTGTAATGTTATGAAGGTTTTGAAAAAGGTGTTTTTGTGTCAAACTGTTGAATGTTTGTAAACAAAACTATTTGATAATATTTAACTTTTGTTCCCTTAGAGTTGAAAGTTTTATTATATGCCAGTAAAATATGCTGAATTTGAAATAAACAGATTTCAGAAAAAAAACTGTGTTTTTTTTTTATTTATATATTTATTATATTTTATACAGTTTAACCCTAAAAACTGCTAAATTTGTGTAATGTCATACTGGTTTACCATTAAAACTGATAATTTGTGTAATTTTATACAAGTTAACCCTTAAATTCACACTGATAATATGTGTAATTTCATACTGGTTTACCCTTAAAACTGATCATTTGTGTGATTGATTTGGTTTATATATACAGAATTTATTTTAGTTCAATTGTGTTGGAAGCTATAAGCTTATAGACACACTTTCGAATCAGTTCCTGGAACCAACCAGTACTGAGCAATGAGTGTAAAGTTTCTTGCTCAAGGAAATAACGACTTGCCCCTGATGGGGTTTACAGTAGATGACTTACAGCAGAAAGGATGGACATGTTTGGTATTTATGTCTTATTTTAGAAGGTTATTGCAAATATTTTTGCATTAACAGCTGGAGAAGCATACAGACACATTTTAAGCCCCAAAAAGGTGCATAAGCAATAATATGATATAAATAACTAGAAATGTGTCGTCACGCCATGGATGCCCCCGCATGCAACCAAAATTTCAGATGTTATAATATTTAGTTCCAAATTTGTTTGCACAAATTTTTTTTTTTCGTTTTAAGTTCAAAGCCCTTAAAACTATTAAATGTTAACACAAGCCATTTTTATACAAAGTTCAAGGTACTGAAACTATTCAGTGTTAACCTTTTGTAAATTGCATACTAGTATTGCATATTTGTAGCCAAAATAATGGCTACATACATTTCCACAAAAGTATGAGTGCTGAAACTTAAAATTCAAAATTTTTCCAACATTCAAGAAAGATAAGTTTGTCCAAAATCATTAAACCACAACCAAATTCAAACTTGAATTGCTTATTCCTAAGATGTATCTATATGCCAAATTTGAGTTGAATGTGTACAACCATTATGAACGGAAACTTAAAATTTCAGATTTTTTTTCAAAGTTCAAGAGGGATAACTGTCAGCTATCATCAAACAATGACCAAATTGGAAATTGACCAATGCATTCTTATGACATATCCATATCTTTAATTTGAGTTGAATATATACAACTGGAACAGTTGGGGAGATAATAAATGTGAACTGAAAATTTCCTTTTTTTTCAAACTTAAAGTTAAAATTCAAACTTGACCTGGGCATTTCTTTGACGTATCCATATGTCAAATTTGAGTTGAATGTGTAATACCCTAGAGGAGATAATGAACAGAAACTGAAAATTTCATATTATTTTCAAAGTGAAAGGGACATAACTCTGCAAAAAATCATCAAACCATGACCAAATTCGAACTTGACCTGTATTTTCTCATGACATATCCATATATCAAGTTTGAATTGAATGTGTAATACCGTTGGGGAGATAATGAAGGGAACTGAAAATTTCATATTATTTTCAAAGTAAAAGGGGCATAACTCTGCAAAAATCATTGAACCATGACCAAATTAAAACTTGGCCTGTGCATTCTTTTAACGTATCCAAATGTCAAATTTGAGTTGAATGTGTAATACTGTTGGGGAGATAATGAACGGAAACTGAACATTTCATATTATTTTAAAAGTGAAAGGGGCATAACTCTGCCAAAAATCATCGAACCATGACCAAATTCAAACTTGACCTGCACATTCTTTTAACGTATCCATATGTCAAATTTGAGTTGAATATGTAACACTGTTGGGGAGATAATGAACTGAAACTGACAATTTCATATTATTTTCAAAGTGAAAGGGACATAACTCTGCCAAAAATCATCAAACCATGACCAAATTTGAACTTGACCTGTATTTTCTCATGACATATCCATATATCAAGTTTGAGTTGAATGTGTAATACCATTGGGGAAATAATGAACGGAAACTGAAAATTTCATATTATTTTCAAAGTAAAAGGGGCATAACTCTGCCATAAATCATTGAACCATTACCAAATTCGAACCTGACCTGTATTTTCTCATGACATATCCTTATATCAAGTTTGAATTGAATGTGTAATACTGTTGGGGAGATAATGAAGGGAACTGAAATTTTCATATTTGAATATTTCATATTATTTTCAAAGTAAAAGGGGCATCACTCTGCAAAAATCATTGAATCATGACCAAATTAAAACTTGGCCTGTGCATTCTTTTAACGTATCCATATGTCAAATTTGAGTTGAATGTGTAATACTGTTGGGGAGATAATGAACGGAAACTGAACATTTCATATTATTTTAAAAGTGAAAGGGGCATAACTCTGCCAAAAATCATCGAACCATGACCAAATTCAAACTTGACCTGCACATTCCTTTTACATATCCATATGTCAAATTTGAGTTGAATATGTAACACCGCTGGGGAGATTAAATGAACAGAAACTGACAATTTCATATTATTTTCAAAGTAAAAGGAGCATTACTCTGCAAAAATCATTGAACCTTGACCAAATTAAAACTTGGCCTGCGCATTCTTTTAATGTATCCATATGTCAAATTTGAGTTGAATGTGTAATACTGTTGGGGAGATAATGAACAGAAACTGAAAATTATATATTATTTTCAAAGTGAAAGGGGCATAACACTGCCAAAAATCATCAAACCATGACCAAATTCGAACTTTACCTGTATTTTCTCATGACATATCCATATATCAAGTTTGAGTTGAATGTGAAATACCATTGGGGAGATAATGAACGGAAACTGAAAATTTTATATTATTTTCAAAGTGAAAGGGACATAACTCTGCCAAAAATCATCAAACCATGACCAAATTTGAACTTGACCTGTATTTTCTCATGACATATCCATATATCAAGTTTAAGTTGAATGTGTAATACCATTGGGGAGATAATGAACAGAAACTGAAAATTTCATATTATTTTCAGAGTAAGAGGGCATAACTCTGCCAAAAATCATCGAGCATATTTTGAGCATATTTCATAATTATAATACCGTAAAATTCCTAATAAACGCCCCTCCCCTAATTAAAGCCCCCTCAGGCTTTTTGTATGGAAAAAAATCTGCTCATGAGTGGTGAACTCCTTAATAAATCCGTAATTTTATTCAAATCCTTCAGAATCCATTTTATTTCATAGTAAACACAAAAATGTATCAAATGAACTTTAAAATCTTAACATATTTTAATGTTATTACCAACCCATGTTACACTAAATGTATTTTCAATGATTTTTGGATTTAGGAAAAACCGTTTTAAGTGTTATAATAATAGCCCCCCTTTTGGAAAATGTTTAGCCCCCAGGGGTGTTTAATAGGAATTTTACGGTAATTGCAATTTTTTTTTTGTGAGTGTTGCACTTAATGTATGTAAGGAATGTAAAATTTTAAGTTTTTAGATAACACCGTTAACTGGTTGAGTCTTATACTGGTGGCATAGACAAATTATTATAACCACTTTTACTGCTGTCTTTCTAAAGGTAAAATTGAGTACAGAACAAGTTCTTGTGTAAACAAATTTTATTTCAAAGAAATTTATACAAATGCAATGCCGATGATAAAATTGTACGGGATAATGCAGGATGATTTCTCTCTATATAAACATGGTACTAATACAACTTAGCACTTTTGACAAATACTTAAAATATACAATTTTTTTCTTGCATACGATCACTATGGAAATACATATTATAAGAATTCATAAAAACGTGATAATTTCATAGTTACGTTATATTGTTTCACAGTTCTATAAATAGTAATAACAAGAGGGCCATGATTGCCCTGAAGTCGCTCACCTGTATATAGGCCCCCGGAGCGAGGCCAGTTTAAACCCCAGGGCTTTCATTTAAACAAACTTGGTAGACACCCATTAGAAGATGTTTCATGCTAAACATCTAAGGTCTAGCTGGTCAAGTTTTTTTCTTTACACATAATAGTTAAAAACAATGACACACATGGGGCAGGGCCAGTTTTGACCCATGGGCTTTTATTTGAACAATCTTTGTAGACACTTACTAGAAAATGTTTCATGCTTAATATCTAAACTCTAGCTATTCGGGTTTTTCAAAGAAGATTTTTAAGTTTTTGCTATACACATATAAGGAAAATCAATGTCCCCCAAGGCCGGGCCAATTTTGACCCCAGGGCTTTTATTTGAACAAACTTTGTAGACACTTACTAGAAGATGCTTCGTGCTTAATATCTTAACTCTAGCTATTTGAGTTTTTTCAAAGAAGATTTTTTGTTATATACATATAAGGAAAATGAATAACCCCTGGGGCGTGGCCACTTTTGACCCCAGGGCTTTTATTTGAACAAACTTGGTAGACACTCACTAGAAGATGTTTCATGCTGAGTATCTAAACTCTAGCTCTTTGGGTTCTTTAAAAGAAGATTTTTTAAGTTTTTACTATATGCATATAGGGAAAATCAATGACCCCCTGGGGCGGGGCCAATTTTGACCCCAGGGCTTTTATTTGAACAAACTTGGTAGACACTCACTAGAAGATGTTTCATGCCAAATATCTAAGCTCAAGCTCTTTGGGTTTTTTAGGAGAAGATATTTAAAGTTTTTTCTTTTGGTTGCCATGGCAACCAGAGTTCTGCATGGAATTAAATTCTTTGAACAATTTTCAAAGGTGACCACCAAAGGAACATTCCTGTGAAGTTTGGATGAAATTGGCTTAGTGGTTTATGAGGAGATGTCATTTAAAGTAAAAGTTTACGGACGACGGACGGACGCCGGACGGACGCCGGACGAAAAGCGATCACAAAAGCTCACCCTGTCACTCTGTGACAGGTGAGCTAAAAATGTGTTGTCTAAACATTAATTTAATAATCATAATGTGAATTATAAATAGTTCTATATATAGTTATATAGACATGGTGGCTAATAATTCTAGCCATAAAAACGCCTTGTTTCATAATTCTATAGATAGTCATAAAAATGTGGTGGATCATAAAAACATATTTGTTTCATAATATAGTCATAAAATGTGACGGCTCATATTTCTAGCCATAAAAAATGTGTTGTTTCATCATTCTATAGTCATAACAAAACCTGTCAGCAGACAGGGCACCCAACACAGTGCTAGATAGTGGAATAAAAAGCAACATAGAAAAGGGGGCATAACTCTGCAAACATGCTTACCAGACATACTTGCCCTTGGCAGTCAACATGTTGCAGTGAATATCGAATATCTTCAACGATTTTTATTATTCTAAGTCAAACTAAGGAAATAATATGCAAAAAATGCTTTCAGAATTATCTCCCTTCTATAAATACATTTCAAATATGATAATGAGCAAGTTCTATATAGTTTCTGAGACAATAGACCTTAACAAAAAGGTTTACCTAAAAATCTAGGTTGTAAAGGTGGCATTAGTTTGCAAAAAAATATTAAAATAGGATTATCTGCCCTTTTGAAATGGCCCCCTCTCATGACAATAAACATGTTTACCAAGTATAAATAGTTTTGAATAGCTTTTACAGGACCTTAACAAAAAGGTTAACCAGTGCAGAGGCCAATGCCAACAAGAGGGACATGACAATTGCTCCACTTTTTTCTCTTTGGAAACTAGATCTAAAAATGTGTTCGTTTCATGGCCTTTTCTTTTTACAGTCTTAAAACTGTTTACAGGTTTGGTATAGAAACTGGATTTAAATAACTCACAGAGAGGCTGCTGCCTCCTTTTCATCTTATTAAGGATATTAGAGGACGGTGCATGTACATTACCTCTGTGTAACATGTAATATCAATGACAGTCCTTCATGCATTATTTCCGATAAAATTGGTCTCACATAAAGAATTTCAAACATTCTTTTGATAAGCTGAATGGCTTTTTTTTTAAATAACATACAAAAAACATAACCTGACTCTTGTAAATTTATTTCAATACAAGCCTAAAACATGTCAATATATACTCATAAAATTGTACATATGATATTATTATTTAATATGACACTTTGAACTGAATTGACTTTTGATGCTCTATATACATAGTAAGATATGATATATAATTTGTACATGTGAAATGAACACTAACTAGCCTATAATGTTTTCAACAACACACAAAGCAGAAACCCCAAACTTTAGACGGATTGAAAAAAACAACAATAACACATTATTATAGAAAAACACACAATAAAAAAGATTTAAAGTTAGAAAAATCTGAAAAATTGAGACCAGTCTAAAATCTCCTGCACCTGATTGGTCCTTTTGAAATACAAATTTGAAATCGACCAATCAAAAAGCAGGAGTCACAGATTGGTCTACAATTTCAGATTTTCTCAAACTTGAAAGCCTGATTTATCTTTATATAAACAGTAACTGTATCACAGATTTGTTCTATCAAACAATAGTAGCACATGATGAGTAAATTTAACACACATTTTAACAAACACACATGTACATTGTTAAATCATAATATGTCAATAAGTTGATTAGGTACACCTTTTTTTAAATTAAACACATTTTAACAAACACATGCATACCACTAAATATGTCCTACACAAATAAATGAGTTTATTTTAAAAACACAACTTTAAATTTCAACAAACACATTCATATAAATATTACAAATATGTTTTATGTTTTAGTAATAAACATTTGTGTACTGGTATTTACACAAAATGTTTCATACAATACACAATATTACTACTCAAATTTACAGGATAAAAATTTCAAAATTTATGTACCTTCTACAATCATATATCTAAAATACAGTAAATTTCACTCAAAGCACTTATTAGCAGCCATGCCTTTATGTCTATATATCATTTGACAATACTTTGTCATAAATAGACTTCCATTTCATTCCCTTTCTCAAAAGCCACATTTTTGTTCAATGCAGCTGTTCAAATTCATATTTTTTTTTAATAATAAGTTTTTCGCTTAACCTGTTGTAATTACAGTTTCTGCTGTCTAGCTTCAAATTATCATCTTCATACCCCCAAAATTGATAAAGGTCAGTTCAAACAAGAGCACTGCATGCTGTGTAAACAATTGTCTCTTAAATATTTTAAGTTAAAAAGGGACAGCACTCATAAAAATATTGTTTTAACATTTAATTCCTCTTGACTATCAACTGCGCCTTGTAATGACAAGCAAGTATGCCAAGTTTCATTTTTGATAACATTTAAAATCTTTGATAGGCTAAATTATAGTTTTTGACTGATGACAATGGCAACAACAATGATGCTGCAGTGATCATAATTGCTTGATTTTCTTCTTCGAAACAGACAAGTCTATGACACAATTTCAGCGTGTCCATGGTTACAATACATTTATTTCAAAGTTAACAGATCATTTTAACTACACCCAAGCCGGCTGGCTTCCTGATTTTACCAATACCAATGACCTTTGAACCCATGGCTGAGAGGCACACACCTAAACCACTAAGCAACCTTCCCCCACCCTCCAACACTCAAACCACACCCTCCAACACTCCAACCAACACCCCCCAAGACATCTCCATTTGCAAACATTAGAAATACAGAAACCAAAATCAACAACATAATTCTATTATATGAAATGTTTCATCTAATCTAGGAGTTGGTTTTTTTTGGACATATTTACCCCACTTAAATTTTTTATTTACCCCACTCAAATTCATTACAATTTTTATTATACTTTACCCTTACAAAATTTAAGTATTCAGAAAACAATTTACAAATATTGTTATTCCACACAAATGTCTAGTAAATATGCCATAGTAAGAAGATTATATTTTCACCACTTAAATGCATAATTTCAAAGCATATTTAACTGCTTAACACCACCCAAATAAATTTATTTTAAAGCTTGTAAACATAAATATTTCAATTTATCACATAAACCGCGGCGCAGGAGTGTAATAAAGCCATTTAATAAAAACGATATTACACTAGACGATATTACACTAGTGTAATAACACTTTGACGTCACGTCATTTGCACTATAAACACTAATGTTAGCGTTACACTATAGGCGCGTCAAAGAAAAATGACTCTTGTTAACAGTTTACCGTTTTTATTTTATATATGTGATAAATAGAATATTATATTCGTGTAGATTCAATACTAAATTTATTGAACTCGTTGAATAAAACAATATTATGCTCGCCAGAGGCTCGCATAATATGATTTTATTTAACTCGTTCAATAAATTTAGTATTAAACCTACACTCATTCAATATCCTCTATATCTCCATTCAAATACAAAGAAAACTGATCAATGAAACCTGTCTTCACTAAAAAACAAAGGTAACATTTACATACTGGCATTATTTCTTATAATACTGCATGTTTGTAACATCAATGTTCATTGGATAATTCTGATATCTATAATTATAGATAAACACTGCAGCTCTTTCAATCAAAGAAAGGAACAAACAAATATAATTTCATTGTAAAAAAAATACTTGAAAGGTTATATGGCTGCATATGGTTTTTGCTATATGACCCTGACTTAGAAGCCCGGGTTATATAACCAAGCAACTATTTATACTAAGCATATAACCTTTAAAGTGTCTTAATAATGTCAATATCATTTTTCTAACATTTTTCATGCAATTACTATAGATCTACTTTGATAAATTATCATTTATACATTAAGAATGGATAAATTCAATTGTTCTTATAATGATACTCCAACGTTGTTACTAAACTATCACATAAGATCTAAACAAATCTATTTGTGAATTCTACACAATTGTCTTTCAGGTTAACATGTCACAATTGTTGTGTTGTTGTTTTTTTACTCATTAATTTCATTTTCATTCATTGAAAAATTGAATTCGTACACAATGTTTATCTTGACATCATAAAGTGCCGAAATGATTGTTAATGCATCGTTCCAATCATCCAAGAGTTACTCATTCTTACCATGAAGTTATGACGCGTAAATCACGATATCTGGGAACAAATCTTCTTCTTGTAATTGTAGTAACTATATTAACCCAATCACAATTTTCTGGACAGCACAACAAGGTCATAGGGGTGAATACTTTTAAAACACGCAAAATGTCAAAAAAACAAATCTATGAATATAGGTTGATTTTTTTCGTTATAGGTTTTCTACACATGTGGCATATTCGTAACTCGTCGCCACATGTACTACACACTGTATGTCCGCATAGAAACGCCATGTCTCTTTTACGCTCCATACAAATGGAACATAATATATTCTCCTCCATTTCCGTTAACTTACGTTGAAGCGTGGAGTTCTGGGGATCTTTACTGGTTGTTGCCGAGAGGTCTTGTCCAAAAACGTGTTTACCATCTGAAGTAAATGAAGATTATTTTTTAACGATTGGGAAATAAAACATTTTTTTATGGTTAGTGGAAGAAAACTTGTCAGAAACAAACAGGCATCCGAGTAGAATCACTTAACTTTTTTTTTCAACTGAATAGTTTTCTCTCAACAATTTATTCAGTATTGAATCTGTAAATAGCATGAAATAATTCTGTAACTACTTACTCTCATCAATTTTGGCAGTGATGGGCATTTTACATTCTATACATTTCTTCATTCTAATACAACACTCTAAACACGAGACCTTGTGCTGACACGGCTGGAACATTATCGTGGCACGTTGTTCCGAACATACATCACATAGCTGATCGTGACTACCAGACTGCTTTTCTTGACGTCTGCTGCGAATAAAATACAGATAAATGCAATTTATTGTCACATGCCAAAATCACTGTAGTAATTAAATAAAGATAACGTATTCTAACGTGATTTAGTAATTAAATTCTAACATGACTTGCGAGTGTGTCACTACACATAAAGAAGAAAATAACCGATGTAATACTGCCAATAAACACTGGCTGTTCTTGCTTATATTGCACTCCCTCCGATAAAATGGATAAACAACGGCACCATTTATATGACCATTCGTTAAGCAATGTAATGACTTCATCCAGTATGCAACTCATTCAAAAAATGTTGCCATAATGACATCACAAAATCATACATTGGCAATGGAAAAAACCTTTCTGAGACAGACCATCAGTATTAATACTACATAGTTTGGACAAAGATTTTGTCATGTTTTGATACTGTATTCAAAATAACATGATAATATAAAATTTACCATAAGGATATTGTATAAAATGAGAATGAATGAAATAAAAACAATGAACTTACTTTGCTGTAGCAAACTGTGTAACCACCTCCTCTAGTTTTGGATCACTAATAAGGTCCAGAGGTGTTTTCCTGGCATGGTTTTTATGATTGAGATTTGCGCCCTGCTGAGCCAGGTAACAGGCAATGGCCGTGCCAACTGTGTCCTCGCCTTCTGCCATACCCAACTGCATCCGGATCTAGAAATGATCAACAGAAACATGAGATATATTTAAAAAAAACACTTAATGTGTATTTGTGGCATAGTGTTTGTTTTAATCCTAGTACTCCTGATTTTTTATAACCAACATTCTATTGTCAATGTTAAGGGTGCCGTGGTCTTGTGGTTAAAAGTCTGCCTCTCAGTCCAGGGATTGTGGGTTCAAGTCCTATTTGGGTTGCAACCATATTTCCTCATATGACACAAGTACTAGTTAGTTCCAGGAAGCGGACACACAATGGAGTTTTTATACATGATGTCTTAACAAATGTGGAGAGATCTTGATAATTATGCAGCCGACAGAGTCTGATTAGATTGGACAGATGACAACTCAAAAAATAAAACAAGGTAATCAAATACCAAATATCCAAGATATTAGTAACATAATAAAGGCGCTGTACAAAACAAAATACATAAGGAAAAAGAAAACTTGTTGCTAAGTCTACGGCACCATATTTGTTTTGTCCTTGGAGCATAGAAAGTAAAAGATATGTATAATAGACCTTCCATTGTTAACTTGGTCAACATGATCAGAATATACAAAGGCACATTGTTTAAGTAAATCAAACTTACAGATTCAAGCATTGGACTATCTTCCCTCTCCGTGGATACGCTCTGTCGCATCAGTCCCAGATGTAGACACGTGTCCCCATCTTCATCCTCCACGTTCACGTCCGCTCCCTTAGACACCAGTAACTCTATTAGGCCGGTGTGACCTTGGCTCACTGCCAACAATAATGGCGTCTGCTGACGATTGTTTCTGATTTCTATATCTGCTTGACCCTATAGATGGAGTTGAAAAAAACAATGCAAAAATACATTATAAATGGCCAAGAAAGGGTATAATTCGGTAAAATTTCCTGCTGGAGTCATGGATCAGTACCAGTTCAATACAACCATGATCCTGCAAATGTGTGTGAAGTCTAAATTAAGAGTATACCTTCAGTGGTTCATGAGTAAAAATCTTTAAACGAAGGAGTGTTACTCCTCATTGATGCCAGGGATGGGCTAAAAACCTATAGTTATGAGAACAAAATCAAATGTAAACAGAAACAGATATGTCAGTAGGACAGTGTAATTGACTATTCCTAGTGTTTGATAGTAAACCATGAACCTGAAAAATGTTAAATTTTCTAAGTTAAAAAAGTGCAAAATTCTGTCATAATTCATCATAGAGGTATAGGATTTGGAAAGTCACCTCCTACTATGCTCTCAGAAAGTGTTTGAAGTTTCAACCCTTTTGTAGTTGATGTGATACCAGGTTATAAAGATTGTTGACAGGTTATATGGCCCTATATAAACGGCTGTTTGTAAATATATATTGCAAACAGCCGTTTATATACGGCCATATAACCTGTCAACAATCTTTATAACGAATTTATAATACAGCAAACATCATTTTTTAGAGTAAAAAGTAAGACTTCTTCATGAATCGACAACAGCCGTGTATATAAAACTATATAAACGTCACGATTATCCAATGAAAAGCGACTTTACAAACATGCAGTATTATAAGAAAAATTATAACCATAGTGTGACAAGTTATAACCAAACTGTGACACTAAAGCCTGGGCGCTTACAATATCTCTCTCTATTCCTTGAATAGTGAAGCTTAAAAACTATAAAATGCTACAAACAGAATACCTACAGTTACAAGCAGGGTATTTGTAACATCTCTGTGACCGTTTAAGGCAGCTAAATGCAAGGGAGCAAATCCATCGTCTTTCTTCATATCGACAATCTGGCGGCACTTTTGTAAGATCTTCTCTGTGGCACTAAAATACAAAACATTTGTTATTACCTCTTTGTAATCAATCTATCACCACAACTTTTTATCTGACAGAAGTTGAAATGAAGTTGATCTTATGTAAAATATATTTTTTACTGTTACTTTTCGTCTCTTTTTATAAAAGAGAAAGTTTACGACTTATGTATCAGATCTGATGATCTTTCACTTACATATATGTGCCATCTTTCTATTATATTTGTGACAGAAACTTTTTACTCAAGAGGGCCATGATGGCCCTAGATCGCTCACCTGACTTATCAAACTCATCCAAACAATTACCTAGACAAGCATTCTGACCAAGTCTCATGACAGGTGAGTCAAAAATGTGACCACTACAGTGTTAACAAGGATTATCCATATTTGAGCAGTGCGACCTAGTTTTTTACCCAGGTGACACATATTCAAACTTGACCTAGAAATCATCAAAACAAACTTTCAGACCAATTTCCAGGATACTTGGAACTAGAGTGTTAACAAGATTTTTCTATTTTTAGCTCCGGTGACCTAGTTCCACATGCGATTTCGAACTCATCCAAGCAATTACCTAGACAAGCATCCTGACCAAGTTTGATGATAATTGAGTCGAAAATGTGACCACTAGAATGTTAACAAGGTTTTTCCATATTTGGGCGGTGTGACCTAGTTTTTCATCCAAGATGACCCATGTTCGAACTTGACTTAGAAATCATCAAAACAAACTTTCAGACCAATTAACAGAATATTTGGATCACAACAGTAGCCACTACAGTGTAAACAAGATTTTTCTATTTTTAGCTCCGGTGACCTACTTTTCCATCAAAGATGACCCATGTTCAATTTATTCCCAGCAATGACCTAGACAAGTTTCCTGACCAAGTTTGATGACAATTGAGTCAAAATTGTGACCACTAGAGTGTTAACAAGGTTTTTCTATTTTTACCTCCTGTGACCTAGTTTTTCATCCGAGATGACCCATGTTCGAACTCATCCGAGCTATCACCAAGACAAGCATCTTGATCAAGTTTGATAATGATTGATGCAAAAATGTGAACCCCAAGAGTGTTAACAAGGTTTTTCTATTTTTAGCTCCGGTGACCTAGTTTTTCATCCGAGATGACCCATGTTCGAACTCATCCGAGCATTCACCTAGACAAGCATCTTGACCAAGTTTGATGATGACTGATGCAAAAATGTGACCGCTAGTGTTAACAAGGTTTTTCTATTTTTAGCTCCGGTGACCTACTTTTTCATCGGAGATGACCCATGTTCGAACTCATCCGAGCTATCACCTAGACAAGCATCTTGACCAAGTTTGATGATGATTGATGCAAAAATGTGACCGCTAGAGTGTTAACAAGGTTTTTCTATTTTTAGCTCCGGTGACCTACTTTTTCATCCGAGATGACCCATGTTCGAACTCATCCGAGCGATCAACTAGAGAAGCATCCTGACCAAGTTTGATGATGATTGATGCAAAAAATGTGACCGCTAGAGTGTTAACAAGGTTTTTCTATTTTTAGCTCCGGTGACCTACTTTTTCATCCGAGATGACCCATGTTCAAACTCATTTGAGCTATCACCTAGACAAGCATCTTGACCAAGTTTGATGATGATTGATGCAAAAATGTGACCGCTAGAGTGTTAACAAGGTTTTTCTATTTTTAGCTCCTGTGACCTAGTTTTTCATCCGAGATGACCCATGTTCAAACTCATCCGAGCTATCACTAAGACAAACATCCTGACCAAGTTTGATGATGATTGAGGCAAAAATGTGACCTCTAGAGTGTTAACAAGGTTTTTCTAATTTTAGCTCTTGTGACCTAGTTTCTCATCCGAGATGACCCATGTTCGAACTCATCCGAGCTATCAACTAGATAAGCATCCTGACCAAGTTTGATGATGATTGAGGCAAAAATGCGACCGCTAGAGTGTTAACAACTAAATGTGAACGGACGACAGCCGACGGACAATCATCAATCCTAAAAGCTCACCCTGAGCATGCTCAGGTGAGCTAATAATTATAACAGAGAGTGTGATATGTATCTACTCACAGTCGGTACTAAAACCAAATAAAATCTCACTCCCGAACTTTATAATCATTTCAATATTGACAATGACCAGCAAGAGCATTTTTCCCCTTCTTTTAGGTTGCTAAAAATAGATACAGTTATTAAAGGTACTCACTAGTTATTTCCCTTTAAAGCAGCATGGTGAAGGACGTTAAAACCTCGTTTATTTTTCAGGGTAAAGTCGATACCTGGATAATTGACTAGTAGATCTAGTATAACCAGATTCTCCTTACCGATGGCATCGTGTAGAGCCGTGTCACCATAGGCATCCTGAAATTATCATATTAAATTAAATTATCTTTTTTTTCAGTGGTATTCTTGGAGATAATGGTTAGTTTTTGGGTGATTTCCTCCTACCTATATCTCGTCCCTCGCATATCAATAAGATCTCATAACTGCATTTTTACTACTTTACTTGTAAAATAAGACATAAGATATATTACACTGTATAATATCTTATGTATTTAAGTAGAACCACTGACCTTTTTTAAGTTAGTTGGGTAAATCGTTCATATAGATACATGTACAGTCCAACCTCGATTATTCGAAGTTCCCGGGACTGAAAATTTACTTCGAAAAATCGATGGGTTCGAATAATCCAAATCCGAACATAGTGATAGACGAAAACTACACCATGACCATATCGCAAATTCTAGCGAAATTAAATGTTTACAACTCCTCTGTTACCGGTAATCAATCGAGAAAAACAAATAAACAATGATAAATGTTTAAAATATTTTTATTGTTAACTTAAACATAACTACTTGCATTTTATTTCACATATAGCGTATAGGTTAATATAAACATGCATGAACATTAAAAATAGCGCTATCATCTTCCGTATGAGAGAAAAAAAAACATCGAGCACGGCGCAGGATTTAAATCATAGATATACATGTACATGCATTACAAATGTATTTCAACATTAAACAAGTAATATTAATATTTTATCTTCGTCAAAATATAAACAAGCAACTTCAAAAGTCATATTATTTTTCACTTCTAAATGTAATTTTCACAGACACATTTCAGTAATATTTAGCATCCAATCATATTTTCACGTAACATCACTTTGAAACATGTTTATTTTTTTATTTGCTTTCTTTCTTTTCACCCCCTTTCCCCCGGTAACTGATCTGGTTTTCCCCCCGTTGCCGGGTCCTTCACCAGATTGCTCAATTCCAAAGGAAAGTGTTAAATTGACTGATTTGGCTATCCCCCGTTGCCGGGTCCTTCACCAGATTGCTCAGCCAGAATATCTTGTGCTAACGTAGACATATTGCACTGATTTGAAATAGAAACTGGGCATTAAAATCTTAATTTGAACAGATTTAACCGTCCAATTAATATCACAGTTTATTTCTATTTGTTTAGTTTCATTCATTAATTAAAATAATTATTTTGAACACTTTTAACCGTCCAATTAAAAGCGTACAATTAATGTTCGGTAATTAAAGTTGAAAATGTACACGCAAATCGTTATTATCACGATTAACTAAATACACGCACCGTTGTTAGAAGTTTTTCCGCAAAGTTTTTCACAAGTCCCGTCCCGGTCAGCGAGTCAATCAGTGCCAATTAGTCTGGCTTCGAATAATAGGTGTGAAATTCTTAAATGATATAATCGGGACCGAAATTTTGCTTCGAAAAATAGGAGGTATTCGGATAATGCATTTCGAATAATACGTTGGTATTTATATTAGTTTATATAGAGATGAAAACGGGACCGTAGATCAACTTCGGATAATGCCGGGTATTCGAATAATGGGTTGTCGAATAACCGGGGTCGGACTGTATATCCAAAAGTCTGTAATAGAATTTTCAGCAATAGAGGAGAGGAGCAATTGACACAGCCTTGTTTATTTCATTTTCCGATTTCAACTCATTTTTTGTAAATTTATGCAGTCGGTTCACCTAACAAGATTTCCTGAATGACTAACCAGTAATTACTTATTTCTCTGCAAGTGAATGACTACTGATCCCACATGATTTTCTAAATCTGTAGTGTGAGGCAAAAGACCATAAAACTAAATGGTGAAGATTAATTGTTATGGAGACATTACACCTTGCCGAAGAACAACACCAGCGGCACCACATTACAAATTTTATGCTAAACTAAGACCCAGTCTACTGTCTATTTATATCATAGACTGGAATCCTGACTGTATGTTGAAAATAGCTCTACATTTCAGCAGAACAGAGGCACAGTCTATAAAAATCTATTTTTATCACAGAGCCGAATCCTACCTGAATGTTGAAATCAGCTTCATGTTTCAGCAGAACAGAGATACAGGCCATAATAATCTATTTATATCACAGACTGGAACCCTACCTGAATGTTGAAATAAGCTCTATGTTTCAGCAGAACAGAGACACAGTCTATAATTATCTATTTATATCACAGACTGGTACCGTACCTGAATATTGACATCAGCTCTACGTTTCAGCAGAACAGAGACACAGTCTATAATTATCTATTTATATCACAGACTGGTACCGTACCTGAATATTGACATCAGCTCTACGTTTCAGCAGTACACGAACACAGTCTTGATGTTGTTTATTTACAGCTACATGGAGGGTACTACATTCACCGTTGTTTAGGGCATTTATGTTGGCTCCTTTCTGAAGCAAGAGCTCCATTACCTCTGCTTGGTTACTATAACAATATAAATGTATACAAGTTAAGTTATAAGACTATCGTTAACATATAAAAGTTTAATCACTATCTTTTTATTTTTCTGTCTGAACACATCTAGTTTTACAAATCCCTAAAATCCAAAATGGTAGCTGTCATTATTGAAACAACTGCACACTGTCCCTTTAAACCATTACAAGGGCTATTTTTGTATATCTTGTCCTTAATTTGGTAATTTACTTGGAATGAAAGTGCCGTTTGCAATAAGTACATTACTTTCTTTGTTCCCTTGATAATAATGACACTATTAGCATGAATCTGGAGGCATACTGCTTCAAAATACTGATGATACAGTTTAAAGTAGTTACAGTGTTTTACCTTACATGTATGTAGTAAGTAAATTGGTAACAAATATGATTTGACAAAGATTTCTTCATTAACAATTATAGTCAAATAGCCTGACTTCTAAAACAAAAAAATTGGTATTTATATATACATTTATAATACCATACAGACAGGAAAAACTTGCATATTTGAAAAAAAAAATTGAATATACAGCGTTTTCTTGTGTATGAGAACACAGAAGTAATGAGGTATGACTACTAACCCAAAGGAAGAATAATGTAAGGCAGAATCACCGTCCTCATCTTGAAGTTCAAGGTCAGCGCCGGCAGTCAACAATAACTGTACAATTTCTTTATGACCTTGATGACTGGCCACTTGTAATGCTGTCTTTCCTGAACTCTTCTGATCCACCTTTAATTTATATATATCATAAATTATATCAAGTTTTAAAGGATACACACCTCCTGAGTTTTTTTTTCAGTTTTTTTTTTTCATTTTTGATTGGGTTTAACTTTGCACCAACACTGTAATGGTCATCCAGGTTTACTGGTGGAGAAAGACCTAAGGTGCCCCTACATGCATTTATTTAGGCACAAATGGGAACCTGAGCAGAACCACCAACATTTCCCAAGATCGCCAGATAGCTCCCTCATATGAAAGCCCAAGTCCCTGGGGCAATTAGAATAGAGGGGCAAGTGTATGAAAGTCAAAGACTGTAACCACTTGGCCAAGGATGACCCATTCATGAGTCCAGATAAAGGTTACAAACATAACAAGTTTATGGAAAGTATGCAGTACTTGAGAAATGTATAAGTATAATATAATAACATAACATACATGTATGTTTAAATATGAGTTTACTACTTTTATCACACCATCTGAACTCTAATACTAACTGAGCAAGTGTTTATTTCAACACGTTTAAAGTATTGTCTTTTTTTTTGGTCAGAATACATCTTAACATCAAAGTTACTATAGCACTTGTGTGACAGGCTTGAACTTCCAAGATTTTGGAAAAAATCTATTGTTCTACATGAAATATTAACACTGAGCAACAGTGAAGCACCTTATCAGGATAAAGGTTTAATTACTGACCATATCAGGGTTAGGGCTAAATTACTGACCTCATTAGGGTAAAAGTTATATTGACTGACCTTATCGGGAAACTTGGTGATGATATCTTTAACTACGTCAGTATGACCTTGAGCTGCCTCTCTCACCAGTCTATCAGGACCAGTCTCTGTCTGATGTAATTCTACAAGCTGATCTAACAATGTTGTCAATGATGCTGTAAATATAACAATGCTGTCAATGATGCTGTAAATATAACAATGTGGTCAATGATGCTGTAAATATAACAATGTTGTCAATGATGCTGTAAATATAACAATGTTGTCAATGATGCTGTAAATATAACAATGTTGTCAATGATGCTGTAAATATAACAATGTTGTCAATGATGCTGTAAATATAACAATGTTGTCAATGATGCTGTAAATATAACAATGTTGTCAATGATGCTGTATATAACAATCACAAATTACAGTAATGTTCTCCAGTAGTAAAATTATCTGTTTGTTTATTTGTCTAGTTTTTAAGCAGATTTTCACACATTAATATTTGTTAATATTTACGTGGTTGGTTCGACTAACACCCTTTCTTAGATAATGAGCCAGTTATTACCAATTTCTCTGCAAGTGAACGACTACTTATCCCATATGATTTCTGAATCAGCAATGAGAGACAAATGACCGTTAGACTAAATGTCTTGAAATAAAATGTCATAGAGAAAGTTAACTTCACCAGAGGATTGATCCGCAACCCCTGGATTACAAATTCTAGGCTCTACCTATTGAGCTATTGTTGGCAAAGTTGGTAAAAATAAATTTAAGATCAAATAACATTGGAATAATGCTTCACAATATTGTATATTAACTTACATTTATGTTGCTGATCAGGAATACAACATAACATAAGTAATTCATATTTTATTTGCTTGGCTAGGTCTTTCAATGACATAAATACAGGTGATTTGGATATATACCAGCTTTACAGGTCAAGACCTCTGGTGTCTGTGTTTAACTTCAGACATGAGCAGGAACCTGGTAAGAACCACCAAACTTAAGTAGATATCTAGATATCTTCTTTATATAAAAGAATCCAAATTCCTTGAGGGGATTCAAACCCACAGTCATTCCTAGTAACTACCTTGAATGAAACAGTCATAAAGGCCAATATAGTTATACTTTTTGGCTAAGTTTTAACTTATAATTCAGGTACATTTCTGTATTGCTGTTGTTTAATCAAGTTAACTAGCCTTAAAAATTTGGCAATAAAAGCCTTCATACATTTTCTTAGGAGTGCATAAAAAATGCTAAGTCAATCCAACTTTTACGTAATTTCATTACAAATAAAATCTCACTTTGTAGATCTTCTCTCTCATTGTGTCCCATCGTGTTGTTCAGATCTGTAATCACACTAGCTGGTACCTGGCTTACACACATTGGATTAAATGTCCACGTCTGGTTCCCAACAGCAACACGCAGGTCACCATCAGCGTAAACCTTTAACACTCGACCAGTCTTTCCTAAAGTCTGTAAAACAGTGATACAAAATTCTATCTTTTGTTAAACTTACCACAGAACTGATGTTCATAAGAGAAAACAAATACACACGAGTGGCGGCATGGCCGAGTGGTTAACGCGTCGGACTAGTAATCTCATGATCGCTAGCCGCATGGGTTCAAACCCTGTCAGGGACAAGTCGTTGTTTCCTTGAGCAAGAAACTTTACACTCATTGCTCAGTACTGGTTGGTTCCAGGAACGGATTCGAAAGTGTGTCTATAAGCTTATAGCTTCCTACACAATCAAACTAAAATAAATTCTGTATAAACCAAAACAAATATTACCAAAACCATTTATATATTTCAATAAAAGAAAATTTTCTGAAATGATAAATTCCTTTCAAAAAAATGTTTCTTTAATAAAATTCCATTTTACCAAAGTTGAAAAAAAAAGTTAACTGTGTCATAAAATAATATCATAAAATCATATGTTTCTGAATTAATGTAACTACCACCTTATTCATTTCCAAATTTATATGCTACAACATAAATCCTACCAAAATACCAAGTGATAACATAATATATCCTAAAGTTAACGCTAAAAAAGTTCATTTAACCAACAAGGGGAACAACTTACAGTTTTCATTGACTCGTTCCATTCACCATGATTTTTCTGCAGCTCTTTTACAGATTGTATATTTTCTGAAACCTTTACTATATCTCCTACTGATAGAGTTTGAACCTGAAAATTGTCATAAAGAAAACTCATCAATTAACAATCATTTCAAGTAAATTTCACTCACTTACTAAGATTCTTACTGAGTATAAATATTTTTTCAGTTTTTTTCTCTATTTAGAGACTACACTGTGAAAAATTATATGGTTACCTTCTGTGTTTACTGGTGGAGGAACCTCTTAGGGTCCGCTAAAAATCTAATTTCAGGTACCAACAGGTACTCTATGTCTACCTTGCTTATTCAGTGAGTCAACAACCATGGCTCAAAAGAGATACTTAGGAACTCTGGGGGTGCGAGCAGTGTTAGGGGACAGGGGTGGGGTGTGTGTGTGTGGGGGGGGGTATATATTTTAAACTTTTTACCTCCCTAGCATTTTGTGAAGTTGTAAAGTAATTCAATGAAATATAAATGAGCCGTGTCACGACAAAACCAACATAGTGGGTTTGCGACCAGCATGGATCCAGACCAGCCTGCGCATCGGCACAGTCTGATCAGGATCCATGCTGTTCGCTTACAAACCCTATAACAAGTAGAGAAACTGATAGCGAACAGCATGGATCCTGATCAGACTGCGCGGATGCGCATTCGCGCAGGCTGGTCTGGATCCATGCTGGTCGAAAACCCATTATGTTGGTTTTGTCATGACACGTCTCAAATAAACAACAACTTGATATTGCTATCAAGAACAGGATCTTACCTTTTTAAGAGCTCCAGGATGGAAAGTCCACCTGTTAGTACACCCCTCATACTGCACCCTGACATCCCCACGTTCCGTTATACGATGAACTGTTCCAACTTTACCTATATACTAAAATACACAATAACACATTAAGTATATTCATTCTCAATGTGTCCTCCAAAAATGTTTCATTTCCTTGAACATAATTATTTAGAAACAAGTAATTACTGTCATAAAAAATATTTCCTGAACAAAAATTTAATAAAAACTCAACACATACAAGGAAACTAAAAAACACCACAACCAATTTATACAAATATACAGAAACAAACCTTATGTAAGCAATTTCACAATATATTATACAAGGTTTTCACTATAGGCAATAAAACTCAAAATGTTCAAACATATTTCCAATAAACAAACCTCGCCCATCCTTGGATTCCAGCCTCCGTGACCTTCTTGCATCATCCTCAGTATATCTGCCTCAAGGTCGACCTTCACCTTGTCACCGACCTTGAACTGATTTGTTATGGCTTGATTTGTAGTTAGTTCTGGAAACTCACCTTCAATATTCAAAATTTAATACTAAATAATTTAATTCAAAAACAGTATATATAAAACATAATTTGTGTAAATTGATCATGAGAAAATATATTTCAATTAACACACTGTCAGAGAAATGTTCTGTAAATTTTGTTAAGTTCTTACTGCTATTTCAATTTTATAACAACTTACACTTAACATTTGAAACTAGCTTAAAGTTTTTCCTGGATAGGCATGATGTTACTTAAATAGGTTCCATAAAGTATCCAGATATACATTTTCATGTTTGATTATAATGAAAATAAATTCATTTGAAAAATTCAAAATCTTAACTGATGACTTAATTATACCTTATTGCACTCAAATTGTTTCATAAAAAAAGTTTGTTTAGAGTAAAGCAATTCTAGGTAAAGCACAAATTTACTTTTAGATATTTTTTCCACATACACACCTAGCACAGGTAGATGGTCTCTGTAGTAATACCCTCCACTAGCTGCCTGTACATACTTCAGATCCACCTTTCCTTTGTGACCTACCCTGTACACGTTTGTCGAGCCCGACGACCATGTCACGGCGGCCACGCTACGCCCCGACTCCGAGTCCCAGCCCCGTACATCTGTCACTTTCCCAACTTTTCCTTCTCCACCTATTTAGAGTAAAGAAGTACAGTTTTTATAAAACAAATTATATATAAAATATTAGTATACAAATAAAGAAATGAACTTAACTGTAAAAGGTCACACTCAATGCAACCATAGAATCATATTATCTCAATTGACATATCATCAAATTAACACAAAATTAACAAACTGACTGATTTAAAGAGGTGACTGATAAACAGAGGGACTCTCTTAAGAGGTTTCATTATACTTTATTTATGGTACAAAACTGAACATAACAGTTACAAAACACAAACAATAGGAACAAAAATGTAACAAGCAAAATAAATAATAACCCATACTGTGTTTTTGTCCTTTGAACTCTAATGACCTCCAGTATCATCAAAGTCAACATACTTTAGTAACTGAACACATGATGCATATACATGTATTACTGAAGCTTTTAAATTTTACATTCACCCTATCTATACAATCAACAGCCAATTAAATCACATTAATAAGCATGCAAATGGCCCATAAAGCTTAGTAATGGAATCCTTGAGTAAACCGATTATCAATGTTTGTGAGTCTGATTCCTTGGATAACACATGTTTTTCTGTGACATATGGGCAAAATGTAAGATGTTTAAGGTTGTTCCACTTTCAACATCATTTTTTTATTATTGCTCAATGCTAACGATGTGTTGGGAGCAACTCACTGAGATTGGATTTGTCCCAGTAAAAGAATATATGATGAATAATTATTATACAGAAAGACTGTCAAATACCTAGATTTAAAGCTTGACCAAAACAAGCATTAATTAATAAATTCAACATAAAGAAAAGTTAAAAAACAAGAGCTGTCCGTAAGACAGCGCGCTCGACTTTTTTATTGCTTGCCAATAAAAAAAGTTTTTGCAGTAAAAGGCAATACAAGAATCTCTGTATTTTTAAAGTGAACTAGTTGTTTGATACCCTTGAATATTACAGCAATGTTTATATGACATAATTTATGGTAAAGTGAACAAGTGGATAGGAATGAATTTTTTTAGATTTTTTAAGTTTTTTAGTGCTTGCCTATAATACAAAACATTGACAGTTAAGGGCCATAATTCAAATAAAATCTTTGACAGAATTACTGTATGTGTATTTAAATTCGCGGAAGCAAATTTTCGCGGAAAGGTCTATTTTGGGGGTATATACAAATATTCGCGCTATTTTGAATTCGCGGAGGTGACTGCCGAAAATCATAAATTCGCGTACACCCATCAGGTTAAAAAAATAAGAAAAAATACTCTTACACAATTAGGCAATGGTTTTCGCAAGCAGCCTTCTTTCATTTTACCTTTTACTGTAATCGTTGTGGGACTTCACAGTTATTTTTAACACCTGGTGTCAAACAATACGCTATTGTACAGAACAAAGACATTCAATTCAATTTGTCTAGCGGACAGATTATTGCAAACAAAAGAATGTCCGTTAACGTTCGTGATTTTTCACAGTTTAAAACAGCACTGAATGAGACCATAATATTTTCACCGATTTTGTTAAAACGTTGACTGAGTATTTGTGTTTTGTTTTCCATGTTTTCATCAGTTAAAATCGTTTATGTTTGTGTTGTTTGTATTGTTTGTTTGTTAGTTAAAACAAAATATAATCTGATCAGATGTCAAGACGTTTATGACTCAGACAATGAAATAAATAGCGTGATTCAATGGTATAGTTCAAACATGTATATACTTATACATGAATCCTATAATCATATCAGTCAAACAATAATACACTTGCGAACTGATGTATATACAGAGCTGAATGTTACATGTACAGTTTATACAACAGTAAAATCACTCTATGGAGCGCCACGGATACCAGACTTATGGCAGCCGTGAACACACTGATATACATTGTTCTATAAATGCGCGAAAATATGTCTATTAAGAAATGATTGCTGTAGAAATATTCGCGCTGAACATGAATTCGCGGATCGACTGTCACCGCGAAGATCGCGAAAATTTAAAGCCCGCGAATATTTCTACACATACAGTACCTTCTCCTGGACATGTTTGGGAATCATGATTGTAAACAAGTATTCCAACTTTCAAATTAATATCTCAAACAGTTCAGTCAAAAAGTGGACTGGTACTAAAAACTTAACCAAGATTCTAAGTCGATAAAAGGCCTTAATTTTTAAAACAAATCCTTGACAGAGTTACCTTCTCTTGCGTACAGATGGGGGTAATGATGTGAAATAGCATTAAAAGTTTCAAAGCAATATCTCAAAGGGTTTAAGGCAATAAGTGGATTTTACCCATATTCAATGTATTTTCTAAGTCAAAAAGGGGCATAATTCTGTCAAAAACCTTGACAGAGTTATGTCCTCTTGTCTGTTGATGAAGGTCGTGATGGTAAACAAGTAATGGTCAGTTTCAAAGCAATACCTCCAATGGTTTTGAAATAAAGTGAGGTGGTACAAAAAAACTTAACCAAGCTCAATACACTTTCTAAGTCAAAAAAGGCCATAATTCTGTCAAAAACCTTGACAGAGTTATGTACTCTTGTCTGTAGATGGAGGTTATGATGGTGAACAAGTATGGTAAGTTTCAAAGCCATACTTGTAATACTTCTGAAATAAAGTGGGGTGGTACGAAAAACTTAACCAAGGTGTGACGCCAACGCTAACGCCGACGCCGGGGCGAGTAGGATAGCTCCCCTTTTCATAGAAAAGTCGAGCTTAAAAATTACACAAGTTACAAAGAAATGTCCCAATTTATTAGCCCTTAACCTGCAGGTATAAAAAGTGATTAAAATTTTGGCCACCAGTATAAAATCTTAAAAGTCTGACCAAGCTCTATACTGTTGGTTTTTCAAATGTTGTGTACTCATACTGGAATCCTTTAAAACATTGAATGGGCTGTTCCAATTTCAAAGCAGGATAAAACCCAATACACCAATTCAGCAGATAAAAGAACAGGGGACCAGCACAATTTACTTACTGATTAGGGAACCAGCATAAAGTTTTCAATGCTTCACTTACCATCCTGGTTCCCCCAATCCCAGTCTGGGCCTCTAACAACACGGGCACCAGCAAAGTTACCCATTGACTGTATCTTAACACTGTCTCTTCTCTTTTGTACTTTTTGCCTGTAATGATATAAACGATCACAAATAATGAAACCAGCGAACAAGAAAATAATCAGAAAAAGTATAAATGAGCGAAATTGATAAAGAAAATTGACACTCTTCATCAATTATTCAGGAAGTGATTGCCTAACTAAGTTACATGATCTGATTGAGTAGGAGTGAAATTATACAATTATCATTTACAAATTATGTCCTATTTTGTCCTATTTATGACAAAAAAAGTGCCGTCCTGATCAAGCCAAAATTTATGAAAGCAAAAATGTCATAGTTAATTTATGAGATAAACAGATAAACACCCAACAGGAAGTTTTATTTATCATAATATTAAAATTGTAAAAAAAAACACACAAAAAAAAACAACATTTTACAAATCCACATGTAAACAGAAAAGTTATATAGGTCATTATTCATGTTTTTGAATGAATGGGAATTTTGTCTGGTTTTATGGCCCAGTTTAAACAATTATATGGAAAACAATCATTTATATACAACCACCTAACCTGTTAAAAATTAAAAAATACTATACAATTGTATCTTTGGGGAAAATATACAAATAAGTTATAAACTTGCAGTAGTCTTGAATATAACATTATCTAAAAGCAGCACAATAATTATCCAATGAAATTCATTGTTACAAAAAAGCAGTATTATAATAAACCATGAGATACTTATCTTTGTCACAAGGAAGTGGACTAAATACCATTATCAATAATGAATGTTAACAAATGAAATAAAATTCTAAAAAGCAGACTAACCAGCAATGGGTGTTATATAACCACATTTTTGTGACCCCAATTGGGCTCAAACACATGATCCCTGGGATGAGAGGCAGACACCTTAACTACTGGACAAATGCTCCTCTTGTGTTAATTTGAACAAACACAATGGCTTGAAGTGGTAAAATCAAACAATTCCAATGGCTTCGACGTTTATAAATATTTTATAACTGTATTTGACCTTGACCTTGAAATTCGTTACATTTGATAAGATTGCTTTCTTTATAACCTTGACATCCATGCAGGAAGCATAAAGTTACTCTCAAAATGGCCTTGACATTATATGACATTGTATAACCTTACCCTTTGGATGACGCTGTATCAAAGCGTTGAAATGAATGAGCCAGATCATGTTTATCATCCATATAACAGAGTGTACAGAGGTCAAAGTCGTGACACTTGGTACACTTCCACCGCATTCCCTGAATACCTTGATTCTTACATCCATCACAGATTATATTCTGATGCTTTATACCTGTAATAGAAACAGTAAATGTTATATTAAAGTAATACATTGAGGTTATACTTGTTTAATTTTAACACTCAGCCTGCTTAATTTGAACCGAACCCATTGCCTGCTGGTGGCAACAGATTCTACCATTGCGACCATTGAAGACCAAGACCTGACAACTGGCAAATCTGTGCCAACTGATCATGGCCTGCATTGTTTGCTATTTATTCAGTTTATATTTTGAAATTTTCCTCAAAAACAGGGTTTTTTGGTCAAGATTGTATGATGCACAATTCCATTTAAGAGAGGTATTTTTAGCATAATAAGGGTCACTAAAAGTTTTCAAAAAAATCCTAAATGCAATGCTAATTAAAGCCAAACTACATGTAAATATTCAATTACTGAGTTGTGTTTTATAAACAATTGACAAAAATATATCAATGACTTAATAACATGAACATAATATTTATAAAGTTAAGTCTTGAAAAATTTCACTTGTCTATAGAAGCTGTGGGACACTCTGTACATACAGATAATAGATTTTGCCGTTCCTGCTGATGAGCAATTCATAATCAGTAATTCATCACTATTTCCATGTGCCTTAAACAATTTCCATGCTTCGTTAAATTCTAGATTTTCATGAATTAAGTTACCTACCTATGGCAGCATTGTCAAATATCCGTAGATCATATGCCCCTTGGTACCCTACACGATAATTTGTCCTTGAACCGGAATCCCATTGTATCACAACAGTCTTGTCCGGTGAGGTTGTGCTGCCCGGTTTCCCGATCTCCACCACTGTTCCAACGTGTCCCTCACCATCATCCTGGTTACCCCACTTCCAGTCTGGACCTCTTACCACTCGTAGACCTATCTCCATTCTACAGCTACATCGCCAATCTCATCTGAAAATTGACATTAAAATATTTTGTTACGATATTTCATTTTATCACATGCTTTTCGGTGGTTTATAGAAATATATCAGTGAAATAAAAACTGATAATTCACTGTTTTAAACAGTGAAATTATCAATTTGATAATTTCACTGTTTTGAATATTTGAGCCCGGTACGTTGTTTCAGTGAAATACAAGCGTTCACAATAATGGAAACCAACTTTAAATGACGTGACGTCGTAAATGACGTCACGTTGTATTATTATTTGGCGCCCTGTTCATTTAGTACTATGCTTAAATGTCTTTTTAAACGTTTCTTTGCATATAATAAAAAGAAAATTTGTTTAGTTTAGTGTAAGATCGAAATATATTTCACCTCGTGAACACCAAAAGTTCATATTTCACTCGTGGCTGCGACACTCGTGAAATATACCTTTTGGTGCTCACTCGGTGAAATATATTTCGATCTTACACTGAACTAAACAAATATCCTCTATATAATCATTTATCACAGTGAATGATCATACATATACAAAAAAATTTTTAAATCATTTTCCTTAAAGATCCTGTATGTTTTGTGATTGATATTGTTACTGTGTGTATACCACACTTGCAAAAAGTTATATATGTATATAATTATGCAAATAAAACAATTTTCAAACATCGAAGAATATATAAAATGTGTACTGCAAATATTTGTGCACATTATAATAAATCAATAAATTATATGCATTTTTTTCTTATTGGAAAATTTGACTTAGAATTTATAGAAAATAAGTTTTTAATTACCTCCCTTTATTTACATGAAATGTTGAATTCGTTAATATCTTTATAAATAAAGCTTATTGGAACTTACAATACTGACTAATCTTACTTTGAGCATCATATTTATGAAATAAAACCATGAAAAAAATGTGTTACAGGATCTTTAAAGTGTATACCATCATAAAGAAATACTCCAACTAAAGTAACATAGACTATCATGTGACAGAAGTACTTCCATCAACTCAAACCGATAACTAATAAATCTACTAAAATATTTTCGTTTTCTGTTCTTTTTAATATTCTGGATTTTCCCATATAATCCATCTTAAACACTTCAAAATATGTTGCTGGAAAAGATATATATTTAATATTATGACATTATACTACCATTTGTATCGTATATTAGATTCCTATTACAACTTTGTCACTTCAACTATTCATAAAATAATAATATTTATTTCTGTAACAAAAAGAGATATGGGTCTTGTCTATGTTAAATCTTTTCAAAACATACACAAGGCAGTCATATAAAGTACATTCCTAATGTTTCAGATAAAACAATCATATTTCTAAATAACGCTTGTTAAAACCACCTAAGTGTGGTTTTTTGTACCATATTATATGTACATATTGCAAGAAATACATATAACATGAAAATGTCTATAAAATTATACTTTTATATACATCTTGATCATCACTTTTATCTTGTACATATAACATATAACATTTCACAAGTCCCTATGGAATAACATATCACATATTTTGTCTCGAGAATAAAGCATATAATACAATGTATTGGCAGAACACACAGTGTAAAAAAAAATCAGTGACTTAACGTATTATCCAATAAAGATTTTCTCTTTATATTCCTTATGATACAATATTTTCAAGCTATAACTATTAACACTGAACAGTAAAATTTTCTTTAAGACTATGTTTGATGAAGAATACCTTCATATAAAGACCAACTAAATTAATGTTGCATCTGTCTCAAGATAGCCTCTGCATAAAGGCCACATAGCCTCCACATAGCCTTAACATAAAGGTCACAGCAATTCAACTAGAGACATCATGTAAAACTACCTCCACTTACAGACCATATCAATATTATAGCCACGTCATTATAAAAATTCAACCCTTTACTTAAAGGGATATTCAGGCAAAATAATGACCAAAATATTAAAATGATCTTATGTACTCAAATCACGCTAAAATGACTTTTTCTTGAAGTTTTAGCATGAATTTATGTTTAAATTCTATATATTTTAGGTATGAAGCGTAACTATATCTCTATATGTTGAACAAAATTTAGACGCCAATAGAATCACCAAATAGTTTTAAAACAAGTCAGGAGACTTGAACAAACCCTGGAAGTTACAATAACAGATATTGTGGATATTGTATGATTAAAACAAGCCTAAGTCATTCATTTGACATGTTCGTTAACGTTTCCAGAGTTCACTTTGACAACTATTGTGAAATGCTAGCGCTCTAACCTGACCCACGCGGGTCAAGTTAGGAAACCACCATTTTATTCTTTATATTGAGAAAAGTTTTGTTCCTTTGACTGTCTAATATATTCAAAATGAAGGCATTTACAGAATAATGAATGAAAAATTCAAAACTAAAAAATGAAAATTTTGCCTGTGTCTCCCTTTAAAGACCAAATCCATATATTTGATGACATACTTGTTATAATTGACTACCTCCATTTGCAGACCTGATGTCAATATTTACAAAACATCATCATAATAACTGCATCCTCCATATTTACTAAAACCACATAAATATAATGATGTAATAGTAAGATCCTATCAATGTAAATAAAATCATTGTATAAAGGCACCCCAACATAAAACAACACGTCAATATAGATGCTGAACTCAAAAATGGCAACCTCCAGAAAAAGACCACATCAAAATAAATGTCAGCCTTACAATTAAAGGTAACCTCCTGAAAAGACCCCATCAATATAAATGCCAACCTCAAACATGACCACCTCCAGAAAAAGACCATATAAATACAAGCAATTATCATAGTATTGCAAGCAATCCATAAGTCCCCTAACGGTAAGAGCCCAAGCAACATTCTGAAGGGCCATTGGCCATTCACTTATGATCCTATTTTAAGTAAATTTGTTGAAAAAGTTCTTTAAAAGTGATCACAGAAAACAGTTTTTATGTACAGACAGAAGGACTGAAGGACACTCTAAAGTTATTTTTTAAACATCCCTGTTATCAAAATATAACATTTTTAAAATCCTATCATGATTGAAGAAGTTGGAGTAAAAATTACCAATTTCTCAAAAAAAAGTCTAAGTTCAAAAGGGGCATAATTCTGGAAATAGTCTTGCTAGAGTATTGAACACTCACAAATGTTGAGTGATAATAAGAAACATTTATATGAAGTTTTAAGTAGATACATTCAGAAAAAGAAGTTATTCAAAAAAAAATGTTTTTTTCACGAAAATTTTAAGTTCAAGGGAGGTAATTCTGAAAAATTTTGTGCTAGAGTTGTAAACCTTGTCACATATGATGTGGTTGATGACAAGCAACTTATATTTAAAGTTTGAAGAAAATACCTTAAGAAATAAAGAACTTATAGTGACAAAACTTAAAAACTAGAATCAGAAATCTTGAAATTCAGTCTATTTGTTGCCATAGCAACCAGAATTTTCAACATAGGAAGATAAGAAAAGGATGTGCATAATTTCCATACTGCCATCTACCCATATGTCAAGTTTCTTAAACATATTTTCAGTACTTTTTGCGTTATCGCGGGATCCAGGTTTTGTGTAAAATTTGCCATATTTTCAGGCTATTTGTTGCCATAGCAACCAGAATTTTCAACATAGGAAGAAAAGAAAAAGGCGTGCATAATCTCCATACTGCCATCTATCCATATATCAAGTTTCATTAAAATATTTTCAGTACTTTTTGCGTTATCGCAGGATCCAGTTTTGTGGACGGACGGACTGACGGACGGACAGACGGAGGGTAAACCTAAAGTCCCCTCCGGTGAACCGGTAGGGGACTAATAAACAACACCTTCATATAAGTCTACACCCACTTAAAAACACATTTACATCCACAAAATTAATATGGTCAAATTCACACAGAATATAAATCACACCTTAATTAAAAGGTCTCATCAATATAAAGATCACCTTTTCAGTTTTGCGAGTAGAATTCCCCTTTTAAAATAAAATGATATTAATTAAGATTTGACTTATCATAAAAAACAAACACACAATACAGTCACGGGATTTTTTTTCTTTAATCACAGGTTGATGTTTTTTAAATCAAGATTGTACACAAAAGTAACCAGATTTTTAAGTATGTTGAAATAGGAAGTTCTCAAGTTTTAAAGATCCTGTATGTTTTGTGATTGATATTTTTACTGTATGAATACCACAATAGCAAAAAATTATATATGTACATATTTATGCAAAAAAAACAATTTTCAAACATCGAAAAATATGTAAAATGTGTACTGCAAATATTTGAGAACATTATATTTAATCAATAAATTACAGGCATTTATTTCTTATTGGAAAATTTGACTTAGAATTTATAGAAAATAAATTTCTAATTACCTCCCTTTATTTACATGAAATGTTAAATTGGGTAATATCTTTATAAATAATGCTTATTGGAACTTACAATATTGACAAATATTAATTTGAGCATCATATTTATGAAATAAAACCATGAAAAAAATGTGTTACAGGATCTTTAAGCATGACTCAGTACTAATCAATGTATAATAGTTTATTTACATAATATAATACCCCATTTTTATTTATTCATAGAGACTAAAGGCATTGAAAATTGTAAAATATAAATAAAAAACAATCTTCTTTCAACTTAAATCAAGTCATTATTCATATTATAATTTAAGTTAAAGTGTTTTTCAATAATGAAATGCATTAAAAACAATCTTCTTTCAAGTAATTTTTCATATTAAGTTGAAGTGTTTTTCAATAATGAAATGCTTAAATTAGGCACCTAGAAGCTAGGCACAAAATGGTTGTAACTTAAACTAAGTAAAATATCTCTATTCAAAAATATTTAGCTTCTTGTTTTACTTTGTTTCTACTATGTATAACTTAAACGTATATTATTTTCTTAAAATAAAACATTTTTTTTTTTCAATAACAAAAGTTTTAGGAAATTTCATTTTCATTCTCCTTTAAAATTTTGCTGAAATTGAGTTACAATCATTTTGCGCTAAGCCTGCGATATGC